ACAAAACAAGTAGGAAAGCCTTAAGATAAATAATCCACTTGTTTAGAGAGAAATATTTCGATAATTTTTTTGTAAAGTAGTACTGGTAACTGGCCCCTGGGGGCTAGCTACCCCTTTATGGTTATGAATGTGTTTCTACCTGTCATTTAGACATTTAGCTAGTGCTAGTTTATGCTAACCTGCTAGCTAGCAATCCTACTAGTAGTAAATGCTAGTTAGCATAAGCTGCTAGCAGTGCTAGCTAGCAACCTTACTACAAGATCATCTGAGGTAAAATACATAAAAAAAATAACATAACTTAATTGCAGTTGTAAATGTTTCCACTAGTGACTGATAGCGTTACAGTTAATCTTACTTTATAGCTTTTTAGCTATTTTACACAGCATTTTATGTCATATAGCTAGATAGCTAGCTACGTTTTTAAGAGAAAGCTTTTAAATTGGTACCTCTCCCCCCTGCAGGTTAATGCTAACGGTTTGAAAGAAACTGGCTTGTCTTAATGTTCACAGTCCTGTGTGGGGTAGTTAGGGGTTAGGTTTAGGGAGGGTTTTGGGTAAGGGTTAGGGGCCATCTGTTAGATTAGGGGTCAGGACTTAGGTTAAGGGTCAGTTCCTAATATAATTTCATGTTTTTATTTTCAGATGAGAACATACAAGAAGAATGTCTGTCGGAAGGGTGAGTGACTCAGGCTGGGTCGACAGTACCATCTTTGTCGACTGGCTCCAACACTTCGCCCACAGTGTTGGTTGCACCCCTGAGGAACCCCACATCCTCATCGGGCACCACTCCCACAGACCCTGGAGGCTGTTCTGACAGCAAGAGGCCAGGGAGTGATTCTCATCACTCTGCCACCCCACTGCAGCCACAAGATGCAGCTGTCAGACCGTATCGTCTTCAAGGGTCTGAAGGCCTTTTACAACAGGGCAGCAGATCAGTGGATGACGACACATCCTGGGAAAAGGATAGGTATATACCAAATGGCTGGTCTCTTCGCAAAGGCCTATAACAAGGTGGCCAGTGTGGAGAGAGGAGTGGAGGGCTTCCGGGCCAGTGGGCTGTGGCCTTTGGAGAAGGACATCTTCACAGAGGCGAACTTCATGGCCGCTGAGGTTATAGAGGAGCCTGAGCCCATTGCCGGTAAGAAAAAGTAATCTAAATGAAAGAAAAGTAGCAGAAGCAGCAAGTACTTCGTAGAAAGTGTTTATTGTACTAACACCGATGTATTGTTTTTGCTGTTTATTTTCAATGCAAAGAATCCATTCAACCACAGTGCTCTACTGCCACTTCTACTGATACGGCCACCAGCTCTACCACCACCATCACTAGCTCTACCTCCACTGCCACCAACTGTAACACCAAAACCTCTACCTCCACCACAACCAAAACCTCTACCTCCACCCTACCCTTGCTCCAAATGTTAAGAAAAATAAAAGTCAGCACTAATTTTAGGGAATATATTTGCATATAGTGATTACAAGTGTTTATTGTACCAATACTCATGTGTTCTTGTTGTTTGTTTGTTTTTGCTTGAACCAACAGCTGCAGCAGTTCTATTGGAGTTGTCCCCGAGGCCGAGGCCCCAGGAGGCGAGGCCGAGGAAGAGGAAGGCAGAGTCTGCGGCTGTACTGACAGCCTCACCTTACAAAAGGTTGCTGGAGGACAGAAACATCAACAAGATGAAAAGAGAGAGAGAGTAAGAAAACAAAGCAGGTTCTTCAAAAAAAGGTTGTCTCAAAGAAGGTTGTTGCAACACAACAAGCCACCTCAGCCACCAAAGAAGGGGATGCGGAGTGTCTTTTCTGTGAGGAGCTGTTTTCAGTCACAGGTGGGGACTGGATTAGGTGTGAGCAGTGCAGGAGGTGGACTCATGAGTTGTGCTCCAATTTTTAAAAAAACATTTCATGAAATAACTAAAAAAAGTGTAAACTGTAGTCATTTATTTCCCTTTATATTTTATTCGCCTAAGCATGACTTTCATCCACATACCAATTTTTTTCCAAACATTGCTTTTTTGTGTCAGCAATTAGACATTGTTCTTAGGGGGGGGTGGGGGGGGCTAGTTACCCCCTAGTACCCTACATGAATATTCAGACCCTTTACTCAGTCCTTTGTTGAAGCACTTTTGGCAGCGATTACAGCCTCGTCTTCTTGGGTATGACGCTATAATCTTGGCACACCTGTATTTGGGGAGTTCTCACAATCTTCTCTGCAGATCCTCTCAAGCTCTGTCAGGTTGGATGGGGAGCATCGTTGCACAGCTATTTTCAGGTCTCTCCAGAGATGTTCGATTGGGTTCATGTCCGGGCTCTTGCTGAGCCACTCAAGGACATTCAGAGACTGATCCCAAAGCCACTCCTGCGTTGTCTTGGCTGTGTGCTTAGGGTCGTTGTCCTGTTGGAAGGTGAATCTTCACCCCATTCTGGAGGTCCTGAGCACTCTGGAGCAGGTTTTCATCAAGGATCTCTCTGTACTTTGCTCCGTTCATCTTTCCCTCAATCCTGACTAGTCTCCCAGTCCCTGCCGCTGAAAAACATCCCCACAGCATGATGCTGCCACCACCATGCTTCACCGTAGGGATGGTGCCAGGTTTCCTCCAGACGTGACGTTTGGCATTCAGGCCAAAGAGATCAATCTTGTTTCTCATGGTCTGAGAGTCCTTTAGGTGCCTTTTGGCAAACTCCAAGCGGGCTGTCATGTGCCTTTTACTGAGGAGTGGCTTCCGTTTGTCCACTCTACTATAAAGGCCTGCTTGGTGGAGTGCTGCAGGGATGGCTGTCCTTCTGGAAGGTTCTCCCATCTCCACAGAGGAACTCTGGAGCTGTCAGAGTGGCCATCAGGTTCTTGGCCTTTCTCCCCCAATTGCTCAGTTTGGCTGGGCGGCCAGCTCTAGGAAGAGTCTTGGTGGTTCCAAACTTCTTCCATTTAAGAATGATGAAGGCCACTGTGTTCTTGGGGACCGTCAATGCTGCAGAAATGTTTTGGTACCCTTCCCCAGATCTGTGCCTCAACACAATCCTATCTTGGAGCTCTACAGACAATTCCTTCGACCTCATGGTTTGGTTTTTGCTCTGACTTGCACCGTCAACTATGGGACCTTATATAGACAGGTGTGTGCCTTTCCAAATCATGTCCAATCAATTGAATTTACCACAGGTGGACTCCAATCAAGTTGTAGAAACATCTCAAGGATGATCAATGGAAACACGAGGCACCTGAGCTCAATTTAAAGTCTAATAGCAAAGGGTCTGAATAATTATGTAAATAAGGTATGTTTTTTTATTTTTAATACATTTTCTAAAATGTTTAAAAACCTGTTTTCGCTTCGTCATTATGGGGTATTGTGTGTAGTTTGAGGATATATTTTAAAATCAGTTTTAGAATAAGGCTGTAACGTAACAAAATGTGGAAAAAGTAAAGGGGTCTGAATACTTTCCGAATGCACTGTATAGCAATGAGCGATAGTAGTTTAATTATGTACCAGCATATCTGTTGCATTTTTCAACATCTTGTTTGGTTCTTAACCTGGTTGACATACTAGTACAGTATGGCTCTTTTTGGAGGACTGTTTAAAAATAAGTATCAATACAAAGTCATCCCAAGAAAAGAACATTCAGATGTATTTACACAAAAAATACAAAATATTGCAAATAAACAGTACAGGTGAAACAATACAAGAAAAAGGAAAATCTATGGGTCCATCACAAGTCTTTTCCACTGAGAACAGAACACAAAATGCTGAGGTTGTAGCTGACATCTCCACAAATATTTGCAGTAAGCCAAAAGTCAAAGGCTACAGTGAAGCAAAGTTGAAGGTCTAGTTCCTGCCCGCTTTGCATTGCATCAACCAACGGTTGTGTGCCACGTCAGACTGTGCAGTCGGGCACCAGATTGCTATAACATACGATGTGGTTAGCTAAAATGTTAAACACCTATTACAGGCGTTCTAAGATCTGGCATACGTCTGCAATGTAGTCGGGCTGGAACTCGAGTGAATAGGATAAAGGATATCCACAAGAAAATACATCATCAACAAATAATACAACAGTGACATTTAGCTTTGGAAAGAAACCACATTTAAACAATATGAAAACAAAAATCCAGAAACGTCACTCGTCATCAAACTGTTTACTGTCCCTCCAGTGTCTATAATACAGACACTAACTAATAAGCCTTTGATTCAGAGAAAAATTATTTCACAGTGTGTTATGATATCAATCTTTGACCATCTGTAGCATTTAACATAATTCACTACGTAAAATCAGAAAGATAGTATTATCTATACAGTGCCATTATATAAGAATATAGTTTGTATTGTCACACCCTATTTATAACCTTATTAAGGTTGTGCTCTGTAAAACAATCCACATGATCAGCAAACATAAGCTTAACAATTATGTGAGATTATCAATGACTAAGTACTTTACAATATTGAGACAGGAAAAAGTGTTGCAAAATATGGCTCCAAGGAAAGTGTTTCCAAAAGTTGTCATCATGAATATTGAAAGTGTGTCTATCAGAAGTTCAGGTGAGGTCTTTGAATACATAGTACAGCTCAGCAATTTGTTGAGTACATGACAGCAAGCTTCAAACAAAACCTCAAACCAAGGCATTAATATGATGCAGGTCTGCACCAACAAACCCATACAACCATAAACTGTCCCTGTTGGTTCTCTTTTGTGTTGACTCCATCCATTACCTACTGTAATGACCATGATACAGCACACTTCCATTTTGTGGGCTTTTCCCTGTACAGACTATAGGCCTTATAGAGGAACACCAACTGACATCCTCAAGCATTTAACCCCATGCCATGAAATGCTCCCACCAGTCTGCAGTATACTGAAAGTAAGTGCATTTTCATTAAATTATCTGGTCATTTCTCCTCAGTCCAACCCCCAAATGCCATACATAGACCAGTGAGAGCTGCTCTCGGTTGCATTGTCTCTTGGGAGTGCTGTGTTGGTCTGTGAATATGGACGTCACACTGCTCACTGGCTCCCTCATGTGGAGCAGCACAGGGCAATCTGCTGCACCTTGGCCAGCTCTGTTAGCAACAGCTTCATGCGGTGTTTGAGCTGAGGCAGGCGGGCCAGAGGCTCTGGGGGCTCCAGCTCCCCTGTGTAGTCCAGCCAACTCTCCAACGCTGAGGAGGAAACACGGAACAGACAACACTGTCAATCACTCATGTCAAATGCATAGTTGAGAGGAACTTATAATATACAGTAGATGTATTGATTGTGGCTACACCTTTGTGACAGTTATTTTGCTTGAAATTCTCTCTTTTTCCATTGTACATATACAATCAGTGGCATCACAAAACGCTTTGCTTGCTAACAGAAAACAAAGGGCATGCCTCACCATCCAGCTCCCTCTCGATGAAGTCCATCCTGTTAGTGACCTCTTCCTGTACGGCATCTATGTGATCCAGAAGGTTGATCTGCCACTGGTGCTGCTGGCTACTGCAGTCTCCGTCCCCTCCCACACCGCAGGCCACACCCTCCATTTTCACCTCGGCCTGGCCCCAGCGACCAACATCTGAACCCTGGACATATGGGAAAGAGGATGCTTCAGTCATAAGGCTGACTTCTTACAGTATCTACCACTATAGTATTGTGTATGCAGGATGTATGGATGGAGAGTATAGGGAGCTTGACTTTTTTAACAAGGACCGGCGATTACAGTTGTTTACCCACCCATTGTTTTACCACTACATCACTGGCTGAAATAGAACGAACCTTGGTGTGAGTGTTCAGGTGTGTGTGGGCTTTGGGAATGGCTGTCTCCAGCATGCCTCCATAGCGCTGCTCTCGCTCCAGCAGGTCCTCAGTGCTCCTCAGGCTGTCCTCCAGCTCAGAGCCCCTCCGTGTGGTCTCCACCACCAGCCTCTGCTCCACCGCAGGGTAGTACGCCCGCGGCTTCTGGTAGCAGTGCTCACTCATGATGTACGAGTCCTGGAACGACTGGTAAGGCGAGAAGGAGGAAGAGGAGGCTCGGCTGAGCTTCTCCATGGCGGCTGACATCAGAGCTTCTGCGCCCCCACGGGCAAGACTCTTGTGGTCCCTCTCTGAGCCCTCGTCTGTTGGCGCTGGAGACGGTGCTGCGTCGGTACCCGTCCCCGTCCCGCCTCTCCTCCAGGGCCTCTCTGCCTGCTTCCAGGGCTGGCACCACAGCCGCAAGTCCGGGTGGGTTTGCGTACTACAGGGGCACACAGGGGCATTCAGACTCTACCCATTTTATTAGGATATTAGATATTGATTCATATTAGTGTATAGATGGATAGTTTTTCCCATTCTATTCCTCTACTTACTGTAGGATGCTCATCTTGAGCTGCAGGCCATTGAGCACCTCCACCACACGCTGTACATCTCCTAGTAGCTGGTGTGTTGCTGCAATCTTCTTGGCATTCTGGTGGGAGTAGTTTTCATCCAGGAAGGACAGACCGTACATGTGACCACTGCTCAGCCAATCACGGTCATACCAGTACCGCAGGCTCTGCCTCTGACCTGGAACAAAGGTCATGAGGGGTCACGTGATATCATAAGACACATCCAGAAAAATATAACTTGTCTGTGTAAGCAGTATATAAGAGATCTAATGGGACTGCCCCGACGGAGCTCCTGACCGACGTGTACATGGTGCATTGAGTTGGTTGGAACCTCTCCAGCGTGCTGATAATAAAGGATGATTCATTTAATATTGACTTCAGGTGTATCTGGTGGTAATTTCCACGACATGGTGTTGCATTTCCACCACAGGATTTACTATCAAGCCCAGTTGTGTGTTGCTGGCTCTCACCTGGTGAGTCTCTGCAGATGTAGCAGGTGTATTTATCCGGGATGATCTCCTCCAGGAGGCCCATGCAGGTTCCATGCTGCCAGCACAGACAGTCCTCACACTGGGGGAAACAAGAGACAAGGCCAGGGAGCAGAGAGTTACTATCAACTACTCAATCATGCAAATCAAACAGTTTTTCTCTGCTGATAACTTTTGGCCTGAGCTTGCTTATGGAGAATCAGAGATGGGCTTGGCCTTTAGTTAGGTGCTATTTAATCTTGGGTTAACCCAGAACTAACGTTTAAGCACCACCTTTCCCCAACCCTGATGCATCCAAATAATCAGTGATGAAAACCCAAACACCGGTGTGGTGATACTATTGTTTGTTGAGGCGGATGGTTTGTTTACATAGCAGGTTAGGATAACTAACATGGCAAGTTGGGAAAACTAGCATGGCAAGTTGGTAGAATTAACGTAGCAGGTTAGGTGAATTAACATAGGTTAAGGCTCCAATTGTCAATAAGTGTAGTCCAGACGTGACAACTAGATGGAGCTGTAGGCCTACTCCATCTAGTCCCGACAAACCATCAGTATCGACAAACCATCAGTATCATAACACCTGAACTACTGCTGCTCTTTATCCTACGCATTCCATCCCATCGCGACAGATTCTTCGATTTACACGCAGAATCTGTCTCCGAGAGATTAGGTGCCATTTGACAAATTATTTGATTTAAATGAATAGAGTTGGTAGGAATCCACTAGTCTCACTGATGTGTATTGGAGGGAGGTTTGGGCTAGAGCCAGGTAAACCCCCAAGGTAGCTCACCTGTATCATGAAGTCATTTTCCTCTTCCACCTCACAGACGCAACGCACAATCTCCTGAACGCCTGTCTCCAAGGCAACAGAGCCCAGATTCAGGGGTGGAGTAGTAACGTCCAGCTCCACCCCCAGCTCATCATCACTCCACCCACAGCTGTCAGTGGACCAATCACTGATGCTATTCTCATCTAGAGGGGAAAACAAGGGATGGAAAAGGTTAACTAATACACACAATCCTGGTCAAGATTTTACATTTACATTTCAGTCATTTAACAGACGCTCTTATCCAGAGTGACTTACAGTTAGTGAGTGCATACATTTTTCATACTGGCCCCCCGTGGGAAACGAACCCACAACCCTGGCGTTGCAAGCGCCATGCTCTACCAACTGAGCTACAGGGGACATTCAAGATGACCCGAGTCTCTTTTAGAAACATTGTAATACTACATACACATAGTTCTTCCATGAGCTAGTTTCATACCAAACAGTATATTTCTCAATGTGAGTCCACAGAAGATAATGTAATTAGGATGTAACTGATGTGTTTGATCAATAGATGATTGTAACACCAGCAGAGAGAGTATTCTCTATGGTAGAAATATAGGAGGAAACTATAGCTAATTTCATCCACAGTATTGTAACATACATACAGACATCCAGTCTCTGTCGTAGCCGGCCGCGACCAGGAGACCCATGGGGCGGCGCACAATTGGCCCAGCGTCGTCCAGGGTAGGGGAGGGAATGGCCGGCAGGGATCTGGCTCAGTTGGTAGAGTATGGCGTTTGCAACGCCAGGGTTGTGGGTTCGATTCCCACGGGGGGCCAGTATGAAAAATATATATAATGTATGCACTCACTAACTGTAAGTCGCTCTGGATAAGAGTGTCTGCTAAATGACTAAAATTTAAATGTAATACAGGTAACTGCCAAAATAAAGGAAACACTTGAGTAAATGAGGGATACAAAGTATATTGAAAGCAGGTGCTTCCACACAGGTGTGGTTCCTGAGTTAATTAAGCAATTAACATCCAATCATGCTTGGGGTCATGTATAAAAATACCCAGTTGCCCATTATTTTGGCTACCATGGCTAGAAGAGATCTCAGTGACTTTAAAACAGGGGTCTCAAAGGAGCATAGGGGGTTTAAAGTGTCTCTCAGTCACCAGATCTCAACCCAATTATGGGAGATTCTGGAGCGGCGCCTGAGACAGCGTTTTCCACCACCATCAACAAAACACCAAATGATGGAATTTCTAGTGGAAGAATGGGGTCGCATCCGTCAAATAGAGTTCCAGACACTTGTAGAATCTATGCCAAGGCACATAGAAGCTGTTCTGGAAGCTTGTGGTGGCCCAACGCCCTATTAAGACACTTTTTTGGTGTTTCCTTTATTTTGGCAGTTACCTGTATATCCCTTATGCATAGCTTGGTGGGTTGAACATATAACAAACCATATGGTGCACAATAATGAGTATAAAGCAAGCCATAGCAGCAAAAAAAGGCCCTGGATTCTATCAGTAAACCATAGAATCAGTCCTCAACTGTGAGAACAGTTTGTTTGCTTTTCACCCCAGAAAGTGTGGAAAATGATGAGCAAGATCGGTTTGATACAGAATCGAAAAGATACAGGTCGAAGCGAAGAACAAATTACTTATGGATTGAAACCAGGCAAATAATGGCAAAAGGGAGAGAGCGACACACACTGATACCCACCATCCACGTTTTTCTGCTTTGACTGGTTGTATCCAGGCCTGCAGTGGTATGACTCAGGCTTGTGATTGTCTGAGAGGGGGAATTTGAGTGGCAAATTCAATTTGGACTGAAGAGCGAATATTGAGATGTCAATATTCTCCTCACTACCTGTGTACTCTGTTAATAAAGGGGAGGGAGGGGGAAGCAGACGCAGAACAAAATATGTCAACTTTGGACTTGCTGATGAGGACAAACAAGAGCTACTCTATTGGGGGGACAAACAGACACTATATGAAACAGAACTCTGATGTTTACAGCTAAAGAGACTATTATTGGTGTGAGAATATTTCCTTATAACAAATAAACCATAAATGGTAAACTTGTGTCCATAAAACACCTCTACTTGAGTATTTCTGAGAGGTGAACAGGCCAAAACACTGTCAAAAAAGTATAATTGTGTCGGAATGTGTTATTGAATAAACCATCCTCCTAAAAGGTGTGTTATAACAAGTGTGATCCACACATCCACACTCACAGAGTTAATTTAAACTAGCTCAATAGACCAATAGTGGTTCAAACTTGGTTAGAGAAGTGCTGTCACTTTGGCTTGTGCTTAGCATTAGACTTTTCACACAGATTAATGTGATGGTTAATAAAACCATAATAAAGGCCTTCCTAGCCTAATGTGTTATTATATGAACCAAACATGAGCCAAAGATGTGCAAATCATTAAAGTCAGTGAAAAAGTGGTAAAAGCACAAGACTGCTGATGCAAATGAAATGAGCAGTGGCTATTTGACTGATGAAGTGATATAGGCCCGTATAGTGAGGATACAGGCAGTTGTAGTGCTAATCCCACACACACCACACCACACCAAGAGGAATGTAGGATGTCTCTGTGCTAAAGGGCCTTCCCACGGCCTGAATGAAACATTGCACCTGCAGCTGAGCTCCAGGACAGGAGCACCATGCAGAACAGTAGGGTGACTAGAGTCCCCTTCTTACCAGACTTGGCCTTTTTCTTCTTCTTCTTCTTCTTCAGTTTAATGCGAAGGAAGTCAGTCCGTTTCTTATCTTTCAGCCGGTCTCGTTCTTTCACCAATCCTGGAGTGACACAGAGTGAACCAGGAGTTAAGAGAGTGTTGTAGACCCTGAACGCATTACAAATACTGGAGCATGCCCAATTTCACAATATTCCTGTTGTGTCATGTTTAGAGAAAGTGAAAGTGAATCTTTGATCAGAAATAAGCTACGATAGCTACACATTTGCTCACATCTATTGACGTATTTAAGCCCTCTCTATAGGTCTTTCCACATGTCTCCATCTTATACACACCTATGTCCATGCTACTGCTCAAAAATGTCTCCGTCACCACCGGTCTCGGTCCATTCCTGTCCAGCTGGTTCTCTTTGCTCTTCTCCCTCTGCTGCTGGCTCTGTGTTGGCTCTGTGCTGACAGCAGGTGGCACTGACGTGCGTCTGCTCATTGTCTTGGCCTCACTACGTGGAGACGGGGGAGTTCTGGTAGGACTGTGCACAGTTGAGTCTGCCAGGTATAGAAAAACCTTTATTATGACTAATACTTTGGGTAAATCTATCTACAGACCTTTTTCTTACACGTACGCATTGAGGCAGAGATGGTGCGTCTCCTCTTAGGACTCTCCAGAGTGGTAGGGGAGGGGTGCTTCTCTGAGGCCTGGGTCTGGACGCTCCTGGTGGGGCTGAGGTTGTCCTCTAGCTGCTGGTCCTCTCCGTGGTAGTACTTCATGTGGTAGTGAAGCAGCTTGGCCTTGCGGAACGACTTGGTGCAGCCCACAGCGCTGCATTTAAATGGGTTGTGGTCCAAGTTAATGGACAGGACTGGGGGAGGCTGGTTTTTGATCACTCTGTACACTGAAAAAACAATGGAGGGGTGTAAGAGAGGAAGGACAAACAGCTAGGAGTGGAGAGACACTTCTGTAAACTGATCTAACAGAGTGCAGGGGGAGAACTCACATGGCTCTCTGCTGAATCTGTTGGGGTTGTGAAAACCCTGCTTCCTTATTGCTGGAACAAAGACACAATGAGACCATATAAACTGACAATCACTGACTGACAACGTTCAACAACAAATAAAAAACACTCCACTCTCTCAGAATTCTCATAAATATATTCAAACCTTCTATACTATTTTGACGACTTGAAATGTGGACAGAATATAAGTGAAGTGACAGCTTCCATTATTTGGAAATATAAGTTGTTTTGGATAGTGATTTTTTGAGGAGTTGTGTTGTCTTACGTTTCACTGGGAGGCCCAGTGGTGCAGATTTGGAGCTATCCGGTTGGCTCGCTGCCTTCTGCTCCACTCTGTCATTGGTGGACAAAGCTGAGGGTAATGGGATAGAAACTGGCCCTGTCTGTGTTGACATCTGATTGGGTGACTCAGTGGATGGCTTAGGTTCATTGGATGAGCTCAGGACTGTGTCCTCAGTTTTCATTTCCACCTCTTCTTTTTTTATCCCTCCATTTAAATGTTGAGTAGACCTCTCCTCACTCTGTACTTGGTCTTCCTCCACTTTCACTCCGTTCGGGCCCACAGTGGCTGTCATGTGATCCTTGAGGTTGTTCTGTCCTGCATGCTGCTCTGTATCCTCCTCCTGCTGCTTAATCGTGGGTGGACTCTCTTTGGTGACGTCCCCCTCACCGTCCTTCCTCTTGGGCTTCTCCTTCCCCTCCCTGTCGTCCCATTCATCTTCATCAACGTCATTATCATCCTCTGTCTCACCGTCTCCCTCCTGGTCAGAGATACTGTGTCTGGCTCTTTTACTCTTGGGGACGTTTTCCTGAGGTCTCCTGTCTCTGCCATTCTGGGGCTTCCTGACTCCGTTCCTCTCAGAAGACCGAGTCTTCCCTCCTCCTCTCTATTTACAGAAGAGAGGGGGATGAAAAGAGAGGGAAATAAGGCAAAGTATGACTCACATAAATGTGACCCTTTGCATGGCAAGCCAACACAATATGAACAGATACAGTGCCTTCAGAAAGTGTTCATACCCCTTGACTTATTCCACATTTTGTTGTGTTACAGCCTGAATTCAAAATGGAGTCAATAAATAAAAAACTCACCCATCTACACACAATATTGAAAATGAAATACAGAAATATCTCATTTACACCCGAGTCAATACATGTTAGAATCACCTTTGGCAGCGATTACAGCTGTGAGTCTTTCTGGGTAAGTCTCTAAGAGCTTTGCACACCTGGACTGTATAATATTTGCACATTGTTTTGTTTTTTTATTCTTCAAGCTCTGTCAAGTTGATTGTTGATCATTACTAGACAGCTATTTTCAAGTCTTGCAATAGATTTTCAAGCTGATTTAAGTCAAAACTGTAACTAGGCCACTCAAGAACATCCAATGTCGTCTTGGTAAGCAACTCTAGTGTATATTTGGCCATGTGTTTTAGGTTATTGTCCTGCTGAAAGGTGAATTTCAGTTTATTTTTATCCTAAAAAACTCTGTATTCCTTGCTGATGACAAGCATTCCCATAACATAATGCAGACACCACCATGCTTGAAAATATGAAGAGTGGTACTCAGTGATGTGTTGGATTTTCCCCAAACATATTCTGTACAGGCTTCCTTGTTTTCACTCTGACAATTAGGTTGAGTAACTACAATGTTGTTGATCCATCCTCAGTTTTCTCCTATCACTGCCATTCAACTCTGTAACTGTTTTAAATTCACCATTGGTCTCATGGTGAAATCCCTGAGCGGTTTCCTTCCTCTCCAGCAACTGAGTAAGGAAGGACGCCTGTATCTTTGTAGTGACTGGGTGTATTGATACACCATCCAAAGTGTAATTAATAACTTCTTCATGCTCAAAGGGATATTCAATGTCTGCTTTTTTTTTTTTTTTTTACTTTTTACTCATCTACCAATAGGTGCCCTTCTTTGTGAGGCATTGGAAAACCTCCCTGGTCTTTGTGGTTGAATCTGTGTTTGAAATTCACTGCTCGACTGAGGGACCTTACAGATAATTGTATGTGTGCAGTACAGAGATGAGGTAGTCATTCAAAAATCATGTTAAACACTATTAGTGCACACAGTGAGTACATGCAACTTATTATGTGACTTGTTAAGCACATTTTTACACCTGAACTTATTTAGGCATGCCATAACAAAGGGGTTGAATACTTATTGACTGAAGATATTTCAGCTTTTCATTTCTAATTAATTTGTAAACATTTCTAAAAACATAATTCCACTTCGACATTATGGGGTATTGTGTGTAGGCCAGTGACACAAATTCTCAATTTAATCCATTTTAAATGCAGTCAAGGGGTGTGAATACTTTCTGAAGGCAATGTATGTGCCATTTGAGCAGGTAGAAACAATAATTGACAGTCCCTGCTGAGAGAAGGAAACAAAGAGCTCACCTCTCGGACAAAAGGCTTCACATGGATCCCCTTCACTGTCTGGACGACTCCATCATAAAACTTCACGGTGTAAGATGCTGAGGGCAAATGGAGATCAGATGGATCAGACTGATGCTTGATTTTATTTTATTTGACAATTCAAAATATATTAAATGTTACACCAGGCAACAGATACATATAACAAAATTGTCGAGGATACATACATAAAAATGTCAAGAGACTTATTTCCATTGTGGTCCTCTATTCTGCATAATAGAATACATACATCTCTTCAATATGCATATGAGTGTACTTCCAAACCACTCACCATCTTTATTGACTGCTAAGACCTTGGCAGGGTAGAAGCGGCAATCGGACCAACTGGCGAGGACCTTGTCATTCACATGAAATCCCTGAAGAGACAGATTAAATTAAGTGTCACACATCGATCCAGTCTCAGCCTGAGCAAATGAAATCAAATAGAAGTAAGTGGAGCAAATAGAAGACCAGGTAAAGCTAAGTAGAGCAATCAGTAGGGATATAAAGTAGTTGGGAGAGTAAGTAGAGTCCATCTCTTACAGGGATAGGATAGTCATCTTGCAGTCCCTGTCGTCTCAGCTGGATCCTCTCTACAGGTCTCAGGTAGGGGCTGGTCCAGTCAAACCACTCATCATAGCGGTGGCTCCACTGACGGTAGTGGATCAGGATCTTCTCATCATCATAGTCAACCTTCTCTATGTTGGCCGGATACCTAGGAGCAGGGGATATATGAGAGGGGTGATTGAGATTGGAGCAAAGCAACTGAACTGGATAACAGATGATAACAGAAAGACAGAGAGAAAGACAAAGAATGCCTGAAAAATTGCTGAGGAAAGCAACAAAGAGAGTGCAGGCAGAGAAAGATATACTGTACTGAGAATGAGAAAGAGTGATGGAGGGACTGAAGCATGACTCACCAGTTTTTGAGGGTGTCTCTTGCCTCTAGCGTTGCCCCCACCTCAAAGGTTATCCCTCTTCTGTTAGGGGGCGTCTTGCCCATCATGCCCACATCCACCTCCTGCTGACAGACACACAGTTCTACTTGGTTAAAGACCAGACACACATACACTTCTAGTTCTTAAAACTGTCATGGCGGGGCTCCTACGTGAGGTCATACTGGTTTTAATAACCAGAGTTGCTAGAGAATGGCTTAGAGCGAACTGGCTTAGATACAAAAAAGGTCTGACTCCATAATCAGTGGAGAATTTAGTTAGTTCTCCATTTATTTTGATCAGCATTTACTTGTTACATAATGAATCATAGTGGTGGAAAGTGAAAGCAAACAATGATGCTAAGGGTCTTAGTCATTTTGGTGAGGGGACTGCCAGGAAGAGAGGTGAGAGAACAGGGGATGAGGCTTGTCTATATGGCTGAGGGGAAAGGGAATTATTACATAACACAATACTGTGTGTATCCAACAATAACTACTGTATGATCTTAGTTTGTTGCATCCAAAGATAGGTGTGAACATTGTAGTGTGTATAATAATCTAAATTAAAAAAGCTAGGAAAGAACAACTTAAGGCATTATAGAGCATCCATAGAGTAGTCATAATCATAAGCACTACATAGACGTTTAATAAGAATTTAAGCAGTCGTACTACATAATGAGCGATGTAAAAGGCCCTTACATCTGGTGCTCATCCAAAGATGGCATAACCCGTTTGACACCCTTAAAATGGATTGACGTTCGTTTATCAAGGATTTCTGAAGCATATTTCTTATAAAGGGTTTATGAACCCTTTATGATACCAAATATAACTGCTCCATCATTTAGGCTATCAGGCTCCAGTGTTTATCCAACGAAAACACTTAGCAAAGAAACCCCTATATGCTTAAGGCAATCCTCAGATCTCATTACCTATGGCCACCTGCTTGCTTCCCAAAATATGCTACTTCAATTGAGTTGAAACCGCACGCAAACTGTCGTAGTAAATATATTATGTTATAGCTTGGTCTGACTAAAATCTTGTGCATAACCCATCTTGTGTTGGGCCTTGGGATTTAATACAATGCACAAAGACTTCTATCTTGTCGGCCTTATCAGCAGGTGGCTATGGACAACACCCACGCCATAGGTCTCTCAGCTCTCCCAAACTCACGAGTTATTGCTCTGAGGACATACACACACACACCCCCCCCACACACACACACATACACACACACACACACACACACACATCATCATCGTTAAACATACACACACACACACACACACACATACACACACACACACACACATACACACACACACATACACACACATCATCATTGTTAAGCACACACACACAAAAAACCCCTTCTCTTAGGCTGAACATCTGAAGACAGAGAACCCGACTCAGAGCCAATGCAATGGAGATGACCTCGACCAACTCATCAGGACCAATCGGAAGATCAGAACTAATAGAATCAACCTACTTTATTTTATTGTATAAAATGTCAGCACACAATGTTTTGGGGCGCGCTCTCAGATATCTCCCTACGAGGTTGACGAACGGGTCCGTGCACGCTATTTACAGATATCTTTACCTCTGAATAAACTGCCTTATATTATACAATCATCCACCTTGTCCGAAAGTCTCTACTTGGTCTCCGTTCTCCAGTAAACTTGTGATTATCAACAAACTTGGTAGCAGAGGATGGTTTTCTAACTCTGAATTCGGTCCATAAAAGTTGATAGAGACAGGAGACAAGTAAGAGACGGATCTGAAAGGACGGGTGACCTGTCCGCAGGAGCAGCCGGGAATCCAGCTCGCCTCAGGAAACTGATCTAAACGGACGTCAATACAAAGGTAAGCAGAACCTGTTAAAACAAAATCTGCATATTGTATTGTAGGATAAACCAAATTATGATCAGTAGACTGGGGGTGAGTATGGATTACTGTGAAATTTATAACATATCTATTATGACTCAAAAGGCACATATGTAAAGATATCTGAATTCTTTAGGTTTTTACTGTTGAAATGTGACTCTCTAGAGAGGAGTCTAGTTACAGTGGTTCACAAGAGGAGGACCGACTTTTATTTGCTGTTGAATTGTGATTCTCTAGTGAGGAGTCTATTTACAGAGGTTGTGGTTCACGAGAGAAGGACCCTTTTATTTTTTGCTGTTGATATCTGAAATCTTAGGTTTTTACTGTTGAAATGTGACTCTAAGAGAAGAAGTCTAGTTACAGTGGGTTTTTTTTTCCTGTTGAAATGTGGCTTTCTAGTGAGGAGCCTATTACAGAGGTTTTGGTCCACAAGCGATGGACCCTTTTATTTGATCCACAAGAGAAGGATCTGGTGACTTGATAAAAAGATTCAGATAGTCGGGTTGAGTTAATTCCGTGAGAATCCAAGTCCAGAAAAGGTTCTCCCGACTAGACGCCAGTTGAATGGTTTAAACGACTGGGAGTCTCCTTGAGGAGAATCAAAAAAATAAAAATAAAAATACAAGTTCAGATAGTCGGGCAATTTGGTTGACGTGGCACTCAACTATATGTACTGTGAGGAACTTAAACTGAATTCGTGTGTTGATGCTGATATGTAATGAAAAATTTAATTGTTGAAATGATAACCTGAATGTTGTGTAAGATTGGCCGTTTCATGAGACTAACTAGTTGATAACTTTTAAGAGGACCACGGAGTCCTATTTTGCTTGTTATGTAGCCGCTGCGCTAAAAGCTGACTTGAACTTTTTCCCTCTTGTGGAAGTTGGTATTTCCTTAGTTCCTAAAATTAGATTGGTAATTATTTTGGAAGCGCTCGAGTTTGTTAATATATTCTTCCAAAAGGGCGATTCTGATACCTTTTGGGAAAATATATAATAACTCGAATACCTGAAAAACAATAATAACTTTTGCTAAATAATTCCCAAAATTAAATTGGTAATTATTTTAGGAGCGCTCGAGTTTGCTAATATATTCTTCCAAAAGGGCGATTCTGATACCTTTTGGGAAAATATATAATAACTCGAATACCTGAAAAACAATAATAACTTTTGCAAAATAATTCCCAAAATTAAATTGGTAATTATTTTAGGAGCGCTCGAGTTTGCTAATATATTCTTCCAAAAGGGCGATTCTGATACCTTTTGGGAAAATATATAATAACTCGAATACCTGAAAAACAATAATAACTTTTGCAAAATAATTCCCAAAATTAAATTGGTAATTATTTTAGGAGCGCTCGAGTTTGCTAATATATTCTTCCAAAAGGGCGATTCTGATACCTTTTGGGAAAATATATAATAACTCGAATACCTGAAAAACAATAATAACTTTTGCTAAATAATTCCCAAAATTAAATTGGTAATTATTTTAGGAGCGCTCGAGTTTGCTAATATATTCTTCCAAAAGGGCGATTCTGATACCTTTTGGGAAAATATATAATAACTCGAATACCTGAAAAACAATAATAACTTTTGCTAAATAAATTCCTAGAATTAGATTGATAATTATTTTAGGAGCGCTCGGGTTTGTTAATGTATTGTTCCAAAAGGGCGGTTCTGATACCTTTTGGGAAAATATATAATAATTCGAATAATTGAAAAACAATAATACCTTTTGCAAAATAATTCCTAAGAAAAAGTATTGAACATTCTTTGTGTACGAGGGTGGGACATCAGAGATAAGTCTGAGTCAGCGCCAAGAATACATTGCTGGTTTCGGCCAGTGACGGGCTAAGTGCACCAAGATAGTCTAAAAAAAAAAAACTGTATAACCATGGCAACCACTACCGTCCCAAAACTCAAGTTTAATGAATATCTAGATCAAAAATACAGGATAGAGCGGGAGTGGTGCCGAATGGTTTTTAATTCGTTCTAAAAGTTGGTGCGAGAGGAAAAGGCAAATCATCGATCTAAAAAACAGACGGAAGAGTGACCTGAAAATCCTGGAGAAATCAATTATTCGTCTTGGCTCAGGAAACCTGATCAGAGCGCGCTCTTCTAAAAAGGTATGCAGAGCCTGTTAAAACGAAATCTTGCATATTGTATTATAGACCAATACCAAATTATGATCAGTAGTACTGAGCGTGAGAATGAATACTTGTTAAATAAATTTCCATCCTAAATGAATTAAGGCATACATGAGATATCTCGTACTGTGATTTATATGAATTAATCTATGTGAAGGCATAGTGGAATCATAGTATAGATCTATGTGGAAGTTAAATCTATGTGAAGGCATAGTGGAATCATAGTATAGATCTATGTGGAAGTTAAATCTATGTGAAGGCATAGTGGAATCATAGTATAGATCTATGTGGAATTTGCTGTGTTTTATATTTTAACGTGTCTGTGTTATATCTTAAACGTGTAATGAATGATGGGAAGTTATAGTGAGACTTATGAGACCGAACACCAATCTGTGGAATTGAGTGAATTTGACCTAGGGTTTCAGGAACCGGGGACTGGGGAGACTGATATTGAAGTTGTGCATGATTCTAGAACAAGCGTGAGATAACTAAAGCGTGGTGTGTGCTGTGTGTAGAGATTACTGCATTGGTATATGTGACTGGAATTCTGATTCTTATGATAATAATTGCATTACAAATTATATAAATTAGCCTCTTTATATGCGAGGGTGTCATACATGAGATAAGTCTGTATTTGATACCGATAATACATCCAAGATAGAGAAAGCAAGATGGCAGGACCAAACATAACCATACCCAAATTCAATGAATACATAGAACAACGAATGACAGGGAGAGTAATGACGGGTCCACCAAGGGAGGGAGGTCATATGCCCGCCCTTGATGTACAACAGATAGAAATGACTGATTATGTGAAGAAATTGACGGAATTTTCTGCAGCACTCTCTTCTCAGGCGCAGAAGGCCCAAGAGGGGGAGCTGTCGGGAAGTACGATGACACTGAAGGTAAACGTGGGAGGCTGGGTGAGGGTTAAAGTCCACAAGAGAAAGTGGCTGGAACCCAGGTGGACTGGACCGTACGAAGTGAAGGAGGTTACTTCACACTCAGTCCAGGTCAGAGGTAAATTAGGCGCACACTGACACCATCTAACTCATTGCACACCAGCCCCCACTCCTTCTAGATCACTGACAGAAGTCAGGGCTGATTTGAGCAGCGAGAACCAATCCTGACAACACAATGAAGAAACCCTTATGGGAACAACAATCTCACTCAGGGTGAAGAAGAACTTTTTCCCCCTGGGAGAGATTGGGAGTGTCTGAATGTTTGTATGTATGTTTTCTGATAGGAATTGGACTCCTGCTGGGCACTCCTTATGAGGTGTTGTTCTTTTACATTACATTTGAGTCATTTAGCAGACGCTCTTATCCAGAGCGACTTACAGGAACAATTAGGGTTGGGTGCCTTGCTCAAGGGCACATCGGCAGATTTTTCACCTGGTCAGCTCGGGGATTAGAACCAGCGACCTTTCGGTTGCTGGCACAATGCTCTTAACCACTAAGCTGCCTGCCGCCCCATATGAGTTTAAGGTTGTGGCGTTGTTTGATCATGTGATAAGGTTTAACTTGTAATCGGACCATAACTAAAGTGGTTGTAGAAGTAATGTATAGGTAGGGGAGAGCCAATAGGGGGCTCCATTGAACTATTATGGTTTATTTGGCATTTCAATGGCATAAGGTGAAATCTGTATGCATGAGGGGAATTCGATTATGTATTATTATAGTATTATGGACACTCCGTAATAAATAAACTGAACCAAACAAGACGTTACTACAGCAATAGAGAATAGTTAATGTTGTTACGTTAGTTCTTAAACCCGATGATAGAGGAAAATGCAGAACGCTGTTAGAGTGTGTTTTATTTAGGCTACTAGGGTGTTTGAGACGGAAGGGCTGGCTAGACGGGGGTGATGACGTGGCTGGATGTGCGACGTGAAAGTATTTACTTTGTGAGAATCGTAGAGGTTGTGGAGTGACTGGCGATGTCCCTGGTTCGAACACAGGTAGGGACAGTAGACAAAGCTTTCGCAGTGGGGCTATATACCTAGATTACTATGTGGATGTGAAAGGTTGAATTAGATAGCTTAAATAGAAGTATTCTAGACAAGTCTATGAAAATATGTTATAAGGTTACCATGCTCTCTCCCCGAAGGAGCAAGGGGAGGGTGAGAGACAGTACAGTTCGGATGGTAGGAACATCATTAAATGTATGCTAATCAACGATAGCAAGTATTTGTTTTATTAATTAGGGCATAATCAGAGAGAACAGTTAGATAAATTGAATAGCGAACTGAAATGGGTTAGCGGGGAAATACAAGATAGATGGACCATTTTGAAACGATAATTTATTTTGGTTAGGATGAAAGTATGCATTGGCTGTTGTGCTGGGGAATGGCGCCAGCCTGTAGTGGGTTATGGATTTGTTACATAAACTTATATTTTGGACTGGGGTGATAAAATAGGCTACAATTGTAGCATAATCAGAAAAAAGACACAATTTAATGTGAATTAGTTATTACAATTGTTGTTGATAGTTGTTACGGTTATTATCATTGATCCAGTAATGATATAAGGATAGTAGAGGAAGGCAGGGGATTTAATCTCATTTAGGGAAGTTATATTAGGAAGAAAATACCATTAAATGAGGGAACATTTGATGTAACTGTGATTGTATTGGCTAAAAACTCAAATATGACATATACAGGGAGGACAGGAACAATAGAAGGGAAGACAGGTTTTTCTAGGGGGTTGAATAAATAATTGATAAATGGATCATTTGAGATGAGATCACATGTAGCAAAGTTAGGGTAATCAATTAAATAATCATAGTATACTCGAGGAATTTTGAGTGGTTTAATGGATTAGTTAGGAGGAATTAGAATGATACAAACAATTATTGATGGGTTAAGACTGGGGATAACCAGGAGAAAGAGATTAGCTCATCTCGTTGGAATGTTGCCAAGGGCTAGGGGAGCAGTAGTGAAGTTAGGCCGTATTTAGGTCATAAAAGTGAGCTACCAAATTAGGGCCTGGCTATTTGTGGTTGTTTTTCAAATTGGGTTTTCAAATAAAAAACAACACACCTAGTATGATGTTTATAAAGCCTTGTTTCAATTTTGGGGGGGGTTTCAGCAGGTCAAGGGTTATGGGTCTTAAAGGTGCACACAGTGAATTTTATGGATTTTTTAGGTTTTGGCTGAGTTTGGGGTATATATGATTTCTTATGAGAATGAATGTCATGAGGACTTAATGAACACTTGGGATAACTAACATTTATGAAATATTTAGAATAATGGTAATTGTTTAGTATACTATGGGATTAAACAGTTCGTTAAATGATTTCAATGGCCTCTGAACTCTGTTTTAACATTCTGGTGTTAATTAATCATCCACACTAGTACATTCTAAAGGCATGAGAGGAAGATTTTAGCATAGTTTATTTTACTAAGTTGAGGGTAATTTATAGTACTGTGAAAATTGTGAAGAAGATTATAATTTGGTAATAATATATTTGATTTGAACCATAAATAACAGAAGAGAGAGTGGAGGAATGGCAATTGGATAATGAAATACCGATATTAACTAAAGTGATTGTTTAGGTAGGTGGTAATATTGACACATGGCCAAATCATGTGTCAAAGAGGGGGATGGTTGGATTAAATATTAAATATATACGAAGGAGAGGACAAAATACTTTATTAAATATATACGAAGGAGAGGACAAAATACTTTAAAAAAACATGTATGATAGTTTATTAACCACACCTGTATGTCAGAGGTTTTGTGCCCCACAGGTGAACTAAAGGAGAAGGTGACCCACTCTATCTAACCAGGAGACTGAATCAGGCCTGGCGGGAAGGGCCCTACCAAGCACTGCCTTTGCCAGCAGAAAAGCTGAGAGATCCATCTGGGTGCATGTCACACACTGTACAAAACCAGCTACACCTGACGAACAAACACAGAGTTAGGAGAAAGATCCGATCACCACTATGGTCCGGGGGTTGCCTCCTTAACGAAGATTCCCTTACCCTGTCTGATCATCCCTGTGTGAGTTCGATAGAAGGTAAAGCAATGGGTTGGCCTCTGGCATCTGACATGTTCTCAGGGCAAGGGTGGGGATTCACAGGTCTCCCGACGGTAGGTAGCTGTCTGATTGTGGGGGCCATATTCCTAACACACACGGACCCTCCTGTTTCAGCCAGAAGTGGTAGTTAACCTAACACAAGTTGAAAAAGCATAGGAGACAGCTAGACGTAGGGAGAGGGGAAATTCTAGAGTAAACCTCTCTGAGGGAGGTAGTGAGACCGGGGCTGTGATAAAGATAGTGCAAAACTATAGACCTGGAGGAAGTAGTACAGGTGGAAACGGGGTATAGAAATCTTAACCTGTGGTTGGAATGGATTCAGTATACGGCAACAACTATGTCTAAAGAAGACTGTTTTGCCTGTGGGACAGCCAAACCAGGGTTAACAACTACTCCGTTCCCCTTGACAGGCTTTAACTCTCTGTCAGGTTTTTCCTCCATGCAAGCCACCTGGGAATGTGGTGAAAGAGTCTTATGGTAACTTGCACTATCTGTTTCCCCCGATAACAAAGTCATCCCGACCTGGGTTGCCTCAGTTTGAAGTCACAGGGGATTCTAAATTGTTTTTCTAGTCTAATCTCTCCTCTTTGTTGCAGCAAGAGGATTATAGGAGCCAAAACCAGGCCCGTGCTGACATCTGATGGATGTGTGGTGATAACTGATTGTGAACTCACCTACATACGCAAACAATCAAACGTGTCAGAGATTGGTGAGTTGTCACATAGAAAGTAGGACCTCCTCCCGGGAGCCTTTGATGAAAGGATATATATTGATGGGATCCACAATCAGATCGCAGCTGAGTTTGAATCAAGTATTTTCTGATGGTCAACAATTAATAAAAATGTAGATTGGATAAATTATATTTAATATAACCAGCAAAATATTTATAAACCACACTCGTGATGCAATAAAGGGATTAGCTGAGCAGACAGCGGCAACTAGCTTAATGACATGGCAGAATAGAATAGCTTTAGATATGCTTTTGGCTGAGCGGGACGGGGTTTGTGTTCTGTTTGGATATATGTGTTGTACTTTCATCTCCAACAATATAGCACCGGACGGGCCTGTGACCAAAGCGCTTGAGTGACCATCACCACGCTGGCGAACGAACTGGTTAAGAACTCTGGTATTGATAGCTCCATAAACGATTGGTTTGATAACATATTTGGTAAATGGAAAACTATTGTTGTGACTATTCTGGGTGAAGTTATGGCCTCTATGGGTATACTTGTTCTTTGTGGATGTTGCCTTATTTCCTGGCTGAGTGACTGGTTTGGTGAGTACTCTTCTATGGTGGTTACTGGATTTCTGACCCTAGTAATTGTGTTTTTGCTGTTAATGTGTTGTGCTGCTTGCATCGTCCCTTGTCTCAGGAGGTCAGTGGTAGGAGTGGTGCAGGCGTCAGGTATGATGCTGTTGTTACCGGCCCAGGATGATGCAGGTGACTCTGCTGCTGACTCTGAGACCAAGCTGGATGATCCATGTTTTGCCTAGTAAAATACATACACGCATTTATTTTCAGTTCTTGCTCATTTATTACCTTATGTTTTTACTAACCACTGTGATTGTTTATTCTTCCTGATGTGAAGGTAAAGGATTCCTGGGTGGCTGGTAGCCAACTCAGTACATGTTAGGTGTAGGGGAGGAATAGAGGGTTAAAATTATTATTTTTATTTTCTATTAACATTAAATGTTGTGATTTAATTTCCATATCCTGTTATTCTTAAGGGTGATTATACTCTGTTTAGAGTGACACCATAAAATTGTTGGGTTTTATTTTTTGGATCTGTATGTGATGAATAGCTTGGAAGGAATGCATTAATGAGGAGCACTGTACTGATATGGATTGTTTCACATAACAGGCCGATAAGAACACTCTCTCTTTGTTGTCTGTGAAACTGCCCTTGAACATGGGTACATGGAGTACAGTTTTTGGGGGCTCGTCCTTTTGGGTGCTGACTGTTGTACTATTAATAAAAACGTTGATAGAATTAACTGCATACATTAATGTTAAAAATTAGGCAATTGGACACAACAAGGTTTTGAGGCGGTGCATGGCCAGTTGGCTGCAACCTCTCTCATGGCTTTCCAAAATCGTATTGCTGTCGACATGCTCCTGGCTGAAAAAGGAGGAGTATGTGCTATGTTTGGTGAACAATGTTGTACCTTTATTCCCAACAATACAGCCACAGATGGCAGTTTGATAATTGCCCTGGAAGGGTTACAAACTCTTAATGGTAAGATGAAGAGCCACTCAGGGGTGGACACTTCAATGTGGGACTCTTGGATGGATGTGTTTGGTAAATATAAAACGCTTGTTTCTTCTATACTTGTATCCATCTTAATTTTGCTGCAATTCTAGTGCTTTGTGGATGCTGTTGCATTCCATGCATACGGACGCTGACAACCAGGATTATAACCACCGCTATTGATCCACATCCTGCAGATAACGGTCAGATGTTTCCTTTGCTTGCTATTGATGATGCTGACCAAGGATATCTGGATGATGAATAGCATTTAAGCTTTTTGTCACGTCTCTTGTGAGACGTGAAGAGGGGGAATCAAAACTTTATCTTCTGATAAAGTTTTCCCTATTTTGCCAATTACACTGTTAGCTTGTGTCACGTCTTAAGTTTTCCTTCTTTACTGTTACTTGGTCACGTCTCTGGGGAGACGTGAAGAGAGGGATTTGTCGTAGTAAATATATTATGTTATAGCTTGGTCTGACTAAAATCTTGTGCATAACCCATCTTGTGTTGGGCCTTGGGATTTAATACAATGCACAAAGACTTCTATCTTGTCGGCCTTATCAGCAGGTGGCTATGGACAACACCCACGCCATAGGTCTCTCAGCTCTCCCAAACTCACGAGTTATTGCTCTGAGGACATACACACACACACCCCCCCCACACACACACACATACACACACACACACACACATCATCATCGTTAAACATACACACACATACACACATACACACACATACACACACACACATACACACACATACACACACATACACACACATCATCATTGTTAAGCACACACACACAAAAAACCCCTTCTCTTAGGCTGAACATCTGAAGACAGAGAACCCGACTCAGAGCCAATGCAATGGAGATGACCTCGACCAACTCATCAGGACCAATCGGAAGATCAGAACTAATAGAATCAACCTACTTTATTTTATTGTATAAAATGTCAGCACACAATGTTTAGGGGCGCGCTCTCAGATATCTCCCTACGAGGTTGACGAACGGGTCCGTGCACGCTATTTACAGATATCTTTACCTCTGAATAAACTGCCTTATATTATACAATCATCCACCTTGTCCGAAAGTCTCTACTTGGTCTCCGTTCTCCAGTAAACTTGTGATTATCAACAAAACCCTCCTCTTTGAAGCATCTTACATTTACATTTTAGTCATTTAGCAGACGCTCTTATCCAGAGCGACTTACAGGAGCATTTAGGGTTAAGTGCCTTGCTTAAGGGCACATCGACAGATTTTTCACCTAGTCGGCTCGGGGATTAGAACCAGCGACCTTTCGGTTACTGGCACAACGCTCTTACCCACTAAGCTACCTGCCGCCCCATGTAACCCTTACTCCATCTATTTTATAGCAATACTGTCTAATCCATGTCTCGAGCATTTTGTGCAGCCAGTACCTAAAAACGAGGTCAAGAGCCAGACAGCTTTCAAAGACTTGGGCAGCACGATGACAAATTCCGACACTGTCTATTCGGTATCCTTTTGTCCAACTGGAGTGATCACAAAGTGTGATGATTCATGACTGGATTGCAATTCTGTCAAATTGACTAAAATGTTGCTTTTGATTATTACATCTGTTCAAATAAAATATATTCTACTCAAAGGTCCATTGTCTGGTCCATTGCAGAGCGTTACATTGTGACTCGCGCCCTGAATACTTTGTATCCTCTAGCATTGTCAAACAAATTCCCGAAAATACCGGGAAACACAAGACTCTAAACATATATATGCAATACATTAGCCTAATTTGGGGAGGCAAAACTCACCTTTGGGAAGAGACTTTGAGCATATTCCATTTAAATGTAACAACAGTAGCCGGATATCTTCACACTACTTGGCAACCCACGTGTTTTCTAGTCAGGCGAACATTGCACATATTGAAACAATGGAAGACAATTGCAATGGAAATGGTCTCTGAAATTAGATTAAACTAGTTATGTAGGCCAGTTGCTTATGTAACATACATGGATAACATGAACCTACGTTATGTAGGTTCCATAAGCACATACTCCGAGAAAGCATTTGTGAACGAATAGGGAATAATTCTTTCTGTTGGAGCCTGTGGCTCAAAACTGACGGAAGCGACCTCAATGACGCAAAGGACGCGCAATAAGCATCAGTTGTTTATGCCAGACCCGAGAAGGGTGAAAATAATCTTCAACTTGGACCTCCGCTTCAACTATAGGCCTACTATAGTCCATGGCTTTAAATTAACTATGTAACCGAACCATAGAAGGCTAATTGTTGATCAAATGTTGAAATATAGCCTAATCCTGTACTTGGACATGTTTTTCTCTCCATTATTTGGCAGCTCTGCTTGCATGTCGTATATTTCAGCAGTCACCCTGCATCCACTCCAAAGTAAGGCTCAAATAAGAAGCATATGATTTTATACAATTCAAAGCTGCCTTATTGATTAGTTTCTTACAGTTTGTCGTCCGATATTCTATAAGGAGTGTTGAATATATTTAACTGTAGTTTGTCAGTGACTTGAACAAAGCTAGTTGGTTAAGCGGTCTGACAGGGGCGGGCTTGAGAAATCTTACAGGCCATTCAGACTGTCATTCATAAGAGGATCGGGCCTCTAGGCCTGGCCACACTTTTTCTTACCGTAAATACCGCATGGAAATAGAGCACTTTAAACTTCCCTGAAGCCACCGAAACAATGACGAGTCAACCTTACGCCAAACAGTATAAACTGTATAAGATATCCATAAGCCAAAACAAATCTACATTACAAGTATTTGAACGTTATTTGTTTAGGAAGCATAAAAAAGAAAGCATGCCGCATTCAGAATACACAATGTTTTGTGTTATTGATGCATAAAAGCTTTTCATATTCTGTCGCAAATACTAATGACTAAAATGTTGCAGAAAACTGATATCAAATGTTACCTTGATTTCTGGATAACGTTACTCCGTTTCCGATGGTGATGTGCACAGTGTGCGATAAAATCCTCTCATGTGTTGCCTCCGCGTCTGATTCGAGAGCACGCAGTTGAATTTCTTGCACTACCGGCGAGCAACTACGCATGTATTAAATACACCTTCTGTTCCCGAATCACAGAGCTGCATCTATGGTAGAGGCAATTTGTAGGCTATACCGTAAATGACTTTTATATAGGCTTGCCTATACTGCATGTACTTCCAATGACAAATTGACATCAATAGTAGGCTAGGCTATATGACATCGTATTACTCAGATACAGTGGGGGGAAAAAGTATTTAGTCAGCCACCAATTGTGCAATTTCTCCCACTTAAAAAGATGAGAGAGGCCTGTAATTTTCATCATAGGTACACGTCAACTATGACAGACAAAATGAGAAAAACAATTCCAGAAAATCACATTGTAGGATTTTTAATGAATTTATTTGCAAATTATGGTGGAAAATAAGTATTTGGTCAATAACAAAAGTTTCTCAATACTTTGTTATATACCCTTTGTTGGCAATGACACAGGTCAAACGTTTTCTGTAAGTCTTCACTAGGTTTTCACACACCGTTGCTGGTATTTTGGCCCATTCCTCCATGCAGATCTCCTCTAGAGCAGTGATGTTTTGGGGCTGTCGCTGGGCAACACAGACTTTCAACTCCCTCCAAATAATTTCTATGGGGTTGAGATCTGGAGACTGGCTAGGCCACTCCAGGACCTTGAAATGCTTCTTACAAAGCCACTCCTTCGTTGCCCGGGTGGTGTGTTTGGGATCATTGTCATGCTGAAAGACCCAGCCACGTTTCATCTTCAATGCCCTTGCTGATGGAAGGAGGTTTTCACTCAGAATCTCACGATACATGGCCCCATTCATTCTTTCCTTTACACGGATCAGTCGTCCTGGTCCCTTTGCAGAAAAACAGCCCCAAGGCATGATGTTTCCACCCCCATGCTTCACAGTAGGTATGGTGTTCTTTGGATGCAACTCAACATTCTTTGTCCTCAAAACACGATGAGTTGAGTTTTTACCAAAAAGTTATATTTTGGTTTCATCTGACCATATGACATTCTCCCAATCCTCTTCTGGATCATCCAAATGCACTCTAGCAAACTTCAGATGGGCCTGGACATGTACTGGCTTAAGCAGGGGGACACGTCTGGCACTGCAGGATTTGAGTCCCTGGCGGCGTAGTGTGTTACTGATGGTAGGCTTTGTTACTTTGGTCCCAGCTCTCTGCAGGTCATTCACTAGGTCCCCCCGTGTGGTTCTGGGATTTTTGCTCACCGTTCTTGTGATCATTTTGACCCCACGGGGTGAGATCTTGCGTGAAGCCCCAGATCGAGGGAGATTATCAGTGGTCTTGTATGTCTTCCATTTCCTAATAATTGCTCCCACAGTTGATTTCTTCAAACCAAGCTGCTTACCTATTGCAGATTCAGTCTTCCCAGCCTGGTGCAAGTCTACAATTTTGTTTCTGGTGTCCTTTGACAGCTATTTGGTCTTGGCCATAGTGGAGTTTGGAGTGTGACTGTTTGAGGTTGTGGACAGGTGTCTTTTATACTGATAACAAGTTCAAACAGGTGCCATTAATACAGGTAATGAGTGGAGGACAGAGGAGCCTCTTAAAGAAGAAGTTACAGGTCTGTGAGAGCCAGAAATCTTGCTTGTTTGTAGGTGACCAAATACTTATTTTCCACCATAATTTGCAAATAAATTCATTAAAAATCCTACAATGTGATTTTCTGGATTTATTTTTCTCAAATTGTCTGTCATAGTTGACGTGTACCTATGATGAAAATTACAGGCCTCTCTCATCTTTTTAAGTGGGAGAACTTGCACAATTGGTGGCTGACTAAATACTTTTTTCCCCCACTAGCTAATTGCTGGCTGGCTGCAACATCAGAGTATTGTTTGTTGAATAGTGCTATATTTTAATCCGAAATAGGCTATGTTGTCTTTATTTATAAGACAAAGACGTTTTTCTATCCTCATCATATTGTTAATTTAATTTCCTGCAACTTCTGCACTACATTCTTATGTACAAAAATATCCACTGTATTTGTTTTAATTTCCAGGACGACAAGGACATGACAACCATAGAGAACTGAGGACCATGTCGGCTTACGTGACAATACTCAAACAGAACAAACACAGACGATACAACACATTTGGACAAGACATTCATATAGGGAATGCCATTGGGCAATAGGCTCAATCAATAATATATACCTTTTTTATACACTTAATCCAGTAAATGGCTGATAACCAGTCTACAATGAAACAAACCTTTATTTTTCTTGAACAATCATTCCATAGAATAACAGAGGGTATGTTCACATAATACACACACACACAATGAGTGGTTGAATCAGTACTATTTTCAAAGGCAAGCTTGCAGCAGGGAAATTAGAGTAATTACAAAAATCAGGAAGGTTCACCTTTATCCTGGATCATTTGAAAATACAGCCAGAGAGCTTACTATTTACAAGCATTATTTACATTAGCATAGCCTCCAGGGAGTGTCTCTTATCTACATCAGTTTACTACATCATAGTTTGGACACGTGAAAATCAGACTTTCAGTTAGCGAGGGAAGCAGAGAGCAGTTATCACTACACCCGTTTTAACAGAACACCTGAGCCAAAATATCAATGGCGAAGAGACGGGATAGTGCTAGTACTTCACACATTTGTTTATGCCTCTTTACAATTAGATATTGGTGTATTGCAAAAAATAACAATGTATTGTTTTAGTGTGTATTTATATTGTGGCTGTGTAATTGCCTTTACCTGCCCTGGGACTACGGCTGCAAATTAGCTTTTGGCTAACCCCAGCACATTTACATGATGTTGCATTATTGTAATATTGATGTTGATTAATGTGCATTGTCCCCTATAAATAAATAAAATAGGTTTTATTTTTATTGTCACACTGGATAGGTGCAGTGAAATGTGTTGTTTTACAGGTTCAGCCATAATAGTATGGCGCCCCTGGAGCAAATTAGGATTAAGTGCCTTGCTCAAAGGCACAGACAGATTTTCACCTAGTCGGCTCAGGCATTTGAACCAGCGACCTTTCCGGTTACTGGCCCAAAGCTCGAACTGCTAGGCTACCTGCTGCCGAATAGATCTCCCATACACACAGTACATACATGTACCAGTATACATTTATAACATCCTTCCTCAGCAGTTGAACATCAGAGGGTTGTTATTGCAGAACATACTCTGTTGAGCAGACCACTAAAAAGGGCATTTAACACAAACTCCAAAACACATGGTCTTATTGCTTCCAGTTTGTACTTTGAAATGTAAGCTCTGACTGTGGCTCTACTGTAGTCGGACTATAGACTGTAGCTCTACTGTAGTCGGACTATAGACTGTAGCTCTACTGTAGTCTGAATATAGACTGTAGCTCTACTGTAGTCGGACTATAGACTGTAGCTCTACTGTAGTCGGACTATAGACTGTAGCTCTACTGTAGTCGGACTATAGACTGTAGCTCTACTGTAGTCTGAATATAGACTGTAGCTCTACTGTAGTCGGACTATAGACTGTAGCTCTACTGTAGTCGGACTATAGACTGTAGCTCTACTGTAGTCGGACTATAGACTGTAGCTCTACTGTAGTCGGACTATAGACTGTAGCTCTACTGTAGTCGGACTATAGACTGTAGCTCTACTGTAGTCGGACTATAGACTGTAGCTCTACTGTAGTCGGACTATAGACTGTAGCTCTACTGTAGTCGGACTATAGACTAGCTCTACTGTAGTCGGACTATAGACTGTAGCTCTACTGTAGTCAGACTATAGACTGTAGCTCTACTGTAGTCTGACTATAGACTGTAGCTCTACTGTAGTCTGACTATAGACTGTAGCTCTACTGTAGTCGGACTATAGACTGTAGCTCTACTGTAGTCGGACTATAGACTGTAGCTCTACTGTAGTCGGACTATAGACTAGCTCTACTGTAGTCGGACTATAGACTGTAGCTCTACTGTAGTCGGACTATAGACTACAGCTCTACTGTAGTCAGACTATAGACTGTAGCTCTACTGTAGTCAGACTATAGACTGTAGCTCTACTGTAGTCTGAATATAGACTGTAGCTCTACTGTAGTCTGACTATAAACTGTAGCTCTACTGTAGTCTGAATATAGACTGTGGCTCTACTGTAGTCGGACTATAGACTATAGCTCTACTGTGGTCGGACTATAGACTGTAGGCCTATTTCAAAATGGCTGTGGTGGTATAGTTTTTTCTCTCCAGATAAAATCACCAACATAGCAGTGAGACTGATGCAGTCTCTTGTTGATACAACTACAAAAAACATCACAGGAAAGCTTATTTTTAAACGAGATACATTTTTTCCTCATTCTTCTAATTTGTAAATAAGAACTGGAGGCTGAGTCTCTAAACTCGAACACATACAGACACACACATACAAATACAGACAGACAGATAAAAGAGGCCAAATAGCAACATGGTTTCTTTGTAGATATAAGGTGGGGATCCTGGGTCTGTTTCCTGACGAGAATGTCCATCCTGTACAAACCATATGGGACTCCTCCTGCACAGCCCACATATCCAGCAACGAAACAATGGCACTTCACATTCAGTCATACATTTAGGAGGAAAATCAGATTTTACATGCAGTTTAAAAATAAGTCATCAAAATGAACTGGATAAAAACTGGTCCCTATGATGTAAAGTAATTTGTAGTCTTTTTGGGTGCAATAATTGTGGGGTTCCATCACAGAACACAATGTTGCCTATGCAGTCGGCACAGATGTATTGTTCTGCAGTCAGAAAGTAGGACAGAGGATGGGTCCAATGTCAAGTGACAGTGTTACGTACAGTACTCAGTGGTGAGACATCGGGGTTCTCTCTTATCTTCTTATGTCCCTGCCTTTGAAGACAGAAATGATCAACCCTGTATTGTTACAGTATGATTTCCAGTGTGTGTGTGTTGGTGCTTTGTGACTGGTCAATAGAGTGGGGCAGGCTTCATACAGCAGAGCAGAGTGAATCTCTCAGTGACCCTGGGGCACATGTGGTGTCAAGGGAGTCAGCCTACACAACGCCCTCAATGAAACTGGTGTCCAGGTGAACAATGAGCATGCGCAGGAAAGACATCTCCTTGCGTGTGTTCTCAAAGATGATTCGTGGGTCATCAGACTGGCAGCGGAGGCAGTTTGGGGCCATCACCATGGCAAGGTTATTGACATCCATCTTAGTAACAGACACATTGGCAGGCTGAGCAAACACCTGCGGATAATTAGTGTGGGAGAGAGGGAGAGAAATCATTAGGGACTGAAGGCAGAGTATGTATCTTGAAACTGAGATTGACCAATGACTAAGGACAAATTAGTGAGTTCGTAGTGATTTGTTCTATTTCAACTTCCTGACCAACGACCATGTCTCCAAGGTTGAATATGATAATAGTTGTGTCAGTATGACTGTATTGTATTAGCTGTGGTGTTCTGTGTCATGTGGTTATTACCTGCAGGAAGTGGATGAAGTAGCACAGCACCAGTCTGTTGAGCTCAGGCAGACACTGGACAACAGTAATGGCTGCCACAGGGTCGTCATAGTTACTGACACACTGCTTGTAGAAGGCCATGGGGATGAGAGGCTCCTCCAACTCACGATACCACAGCTTCATCAGGGAGGCTGGAGGAGATGGGGACAGTGTTAACACTAGCACACACACACACAGATAATAACAGAGGTACAGACTAACTCACCAGGTACGTTGGGGTCTGAGAGGTTTTCTGGGATCCGCCATTGGTCTACCTGGAGCTTCAGTGCGTTGACTTCATCGATATCTCCAGGCACCCTACAGAACAAGCATTCTAATTCAGTATTCAGTTACACTGCATGGCCACTAGGGGGAACTGTAACCCACCACTATTACCAATCTCCAGGTATGTTCAGTGGCATAGCTTGAAAACCCATTATTACATGGTAAAACAGTATCATGACTCGAACGGCACTGGGAGTATCATGTTGTTAATTTGCGGAATTTGTTTGGATTTAGGGACTGACCGTGATAATAATCATGGCGAATAGGCCTGTTCTGTATTAGTTGGAGTAGGAAAAAAATAACCAAACTCCTTATCGCCCATGAAACATTGTAGTGGGTGGGGTATAACGTTTATGTTGAGAATAAATACTCCTCCAAACAAATTAAAATGGAATGGAATTGAATAATCCACAGAAATACAGACCAAATAAAAATACTTACACACAATCACAGATTTGAGCATAGCTCTAACAACGTGATTGAAAGCCCATCGCCTCATGCAAAAACAAAAATGTAAACACATTTGATAAAGTATCAAATTAAACATTGCTGGTCTTCAGGGGCTCTTGAGCAGTGGTATGCAATGTTTGCTCTGTTGTCTATCTCTGTACTGTAGGCTACACAGGGAATGTTTGCTTTAAACTGTACTGCTTCAGGAGACCACCCACCAAGGCTGGCATACATTTGTCTAGATCCTCACTAGATCTCCTTTTTTGACTGCTACCCTGCTAAACACACAACACAAACCCCCACCTCATTGCTGAATACACCAATGAGGTGATTTGCTGACCCTGTCCATCCGTCTCACCTGAAGATGCCCTCAGCCTGGGCCCCTCCCAGTGCCAGGACGTATTGGGAGAGCTGCACCTGTACCCAGGGTAGCTTCCTATCTGGGAAGAGTTCACTCTGGCGCTCCATCACCTCATCCAAGGAGCTGCCAAACAGGGAGGGGGTCACGATGGCCCGTCGGCTGTGGTCAATCTCCTCCAGAGTGGGCTTACGAAGACCCTGCAGGGGAGGTTCAGAGTGTGACTACTAGGACTATATTTTACACTGTTAATGTATGACTATGTCTATGATTATGTCTATGACTGTTAACATCAAAGATTATATCTGAAATAGACTGTTATGTTTATGTTAAGCCCTGTGACTGTCTAAGAATCTATCCATGTCTATCCATGATAATATGTTTCTGACTAATGTCCATGTTTGTCTTTCTAGCATTATTCATCTCTCTATCAACATCTGTATTGGTTAGGACCCCTGTGGGTATTAAACAAATAGGGAAATTCAGGGTGGGGTTGTGTTTTGACTGCATTCTGTATTTGGGACAAATACTATTTTCCCAAGGCTGCCCCCCTTGTTGTCATTCCCCGCCCCTTTGCCATGCTCACTTCTCAAATCACCTTTTTGCCTCCAGTTATGGCCACTTTCTGTAGTTTGCGATAGCAGAACTTGGCATACGTGCTGATGGGCAGACCTGTTAAGAGAGAAGGAAGACAGGGCCACTGTAACACTGAGGAATGAGACTCAGTAACCCAACACCATGGGAAATACCGCTCGTATTGTAGCTGCAGGTCACACCTTCACATATCCATCTGCTCAGTGAGTCAATCCTCTAAGGAACCTTAGTTTTCAACCAAAACAACAGATAAAGGGTTGAACAATTCCTCACTAAATGGACACGCAATTTGTTCCCATAGATGTCAGATATTTCCGAGGCAGTAATTGGGGAGACATGTTCGCTGTGTGATTCTGGCATAAGGGGAACAGAGTATACATGTCTCAACAGTCACGTATAGAAAGAAAAGCTGGGAGAATGGAGCCAGCCAGCCAGCACATCCTGTCCCTGCTGATGCATCAGACAGACACTTAGGACAATGGAGGGAGCAGTACCCCTACCTACACACCCCAACTCTATCTGTCTGCCCCGTTCCCTGTACTTGGGTGTCTTTTCTGAAATAAGATACATTTGAGGAATTAAATAATCATGACTGGGCCTCGAAAAGTAATCGAACAAGGCACTCAACAATCATGCTCCAAATGTATGAGCCACTTCCTAAGATAATCACATAATATCCATACTACAGGCCATTGTCACTGTGGTAACGCAAATCTACACATAAAAACAGGTCTCCACTTCCTTCCCAGAGCCTCCCTATCACACCCATGGGATCCCAACTATCTCCCTTCCTTCCCAGAGAACTCTCTCTCAGGTGGCTGAGCCTTGGCCAGATGGAGAACTTTGTACAGAAAAATATCCTTCCTGGAATGTTCTCTAGACTGAAAGCCCCTGGATTTATAGCAAACAGGTGACTGACTCTCATGCATGTACACAGCCATCGTTAATCTGGCCCAGTTTGACTGTAATTACAGCTAATTACAGAGATCATAACGATAATTTCCCATTGATCTCAGAGAAAACACACGGTTTTCCCCAAGATTCTCTGAATTAACTAATCATTAGGGGAAGAAAAGCAAGAGTTGGGCTATTTTCTTTACCCAGCCTGTGAGCAGGTTTGAACACCAGCGGTGGTCCAAATGAACATGTTGTTTCGATAAGGCAAAAACAACGACGCTACCAGAACCCATGATAAATCACCACTCATTAGAAGATTAAGAGCACAAGGCAGAGACTGTAATGATGACACCTGTTAACAAATGGGTCCAGACTCTGTCTGCCTATATCTGTTAGATTCTCCCAGGTATCAGTTTAGTGACGCTACCTCAGCCTAGTCTCAGCAAAGTGTTTAAACCCAAGTAAGCAAGCAGACCAGCCTAGGCCCAAGAAAAGCCCTTCCAAGCCCTGCCTAGGCAAAGCCCAGACAAGAGATCTCCAGTTCCCACACGCGACTCCCTCCCACCACTCAGCTCACAGCTGCTCTGTGCCGTGGTCACAACACCACACTTCATTTCAGCTCGTCTATTCAGACAGCAGCTCTCATTATGCTGTTCGTGAGGAGGCTTTCCCCTGTGGTTGGCTGGTGGGTCCACATTGTGAGCAATGCAATAGCCCTTTCCCTCAAGTCATTATTCCAGCCTCTATCTGAAGACCTCTACAGTGAGTCACTCCCATGAAGTGTAGCCATTCCTCATGGCCTGTGAGTCACTGATGTTGTCCAGTGTGTACAATAGGTTGATGTTACAGTCATTGATGTACAATGTGTGTGGGTTCACCAGTGTGGTCACTGCCACAAGACGGGTAGGTTCCTCTCTGATGATAGGGTTTCCCTATAGCAACAAAACTAATGAGTGTGCAGGTTTGGGGCAAAACAGACAGGATTGACTTAGAATCAAAGGATTGTTGACAACATGTAAACTATATTTCCTCTTCGAATGGTTATTGGAAACATAAATGCATTTGTACAATGAGCATTTGTTGTCTCTCAAACACATCGTTACAGTTGTTGGTTAGCTAGCTAGTGAAATTTAGCCATATTAGCATAGACATGACATCAGTGAAAACAAGACATGGTATCAATAACAATACAACGAACTGAAACGAGCCACCTACGATTCCCCATATTGCAGCTTCTTGTCATTGTTGCTCGCTATTTTACCATCTAGAATAATAACAACACACAGCCTTTTTACCCCTGCGATGCGCACGCATCATTTTCATGCCGTTGTCAGGCAACCCGTCTATTGGGGTCAGTGCAGTGAGTAGGCTACCTAAATCACAATGTGGGGCTGCCAGAGGGGCCCACTAACATGGCTCCCTATTGTATCTCTATAGAAATTCTTATCGATTCAGCTCTCATACCACCTCCACAGGTATTTTCTGAAAAACATTTAATACATCTACCAGGGAAGTTCTGCATATTGGCATGGTAGTCAATCATAAAAAATTCAATTTCACTCCAAATACTTAATCTGCAGTGAGATATGAACCATGTTTGATTTGTAATGGTTTCTTACCCATAAGGAAATAATAAATAAATGATTGGTCTCTCACTTCAGCACTCTCCATCAGACTTCCTCCTTTGGAAAACACTCCCCAAACTAAACATAAATCTTTATAATGTTGCCTTAGTGATCTCAGACCTACCCTCTTCATCGGTGTTCTGTTTCCGTTTCTTTCTGGACTTTGAGTTCTTCTTCAGTTTCATGTCCTGCTGGTCTAGTATGAACTGAGCCACTGGAAATCAGGAAATAAGGCAGAGGTTAAAAGGCTATTCAGAAAATCAAATAACATCCTTGAAGAGCAAACAGGAGAGAAGAGGAGAGGTAAAACCCACTTCAAATCCTCACACACATCAAGCTAGACCTGTCATGCTGATACTGACAGACAAACAGACATAGTGACAAAAGAAAGAGAGAAAGGTGACCCACCATGTTGCTCAGTCTGAGACTCACGTTTCTTGTCACTGCTCGGATCCGTGTGCCTCTGGATGTATCCCTCCAGGTAGCAGCGGAACTTGGGAGAGGGGGCGAAGAAGGCCAGGCTGACGGCCATCAGCTCCCAGCCTGCAGCCAGGCTCCTAGGGCTGGTGTTGCCCGTGGTCTGCCTCACCAGCTGCACGTACAGCTCGTCCCTCAGGCCCTGCATGCCCCAGCACTTGGTGACGATGAGCAGGGCGGCGTGGCGGCGGTCCAGCCGTGAGGGCCGGTCTCCCATGTAGGCCTGGACCAGTTTGAACATCTCACAGGCCTCCTTCCTCACGGCGCGGTCGCTGGTTACCAGCATGGGCTTCTTGATGGAGCCGCGGTTCCAGGAGAGCATGTTGGCGATGGAGACACGGCGGCGGAACAGGCCCTGGGTGTGCATGTTCAGGTGCTTGCTGGCCCAGTCTGCCATGCCTGAGGTGTCTGGGGGCGGGCGCAGAGTGGCGTAAGAGAGCTGGTGGTAGGAGCCTCCTATTCCTCCTCCTTCTACTCCCTCTCTGTTGTCATGGGAGACGGAGCGTTGGTGATGTGGGCCCAGTGAGCCTGTTCGGCCATCCACTATACCTTTCTTCCTGCTGTCCAACTGAGCCTTCAGTTCCAGGGTCCCCGCCTTCAGGAGAGACAGAGAGAGGGAAGACAGAGGAGAAGAGAGGGAGAGAGAACGCATCAGTGCAGCAGTATGTATGTATGTCCACAGCTGCAGTCTCCTCAGTGTCGACCAGGCTACTTTCCCTTTGCTCTGCAGTGTGAGGGCTCGAGTGGGAATTGTTGCAGGATCGGCACATACATTCCCCAATAATAATATTCCCCAATATTTAAATGGACCTTTTCGTCAGGAGCAGGTGAGGAGCATAGAGTGACATGAGAGGCCCTACCTCTGTTCTGCCCGACCCACCGCTCCTTTAAGACTACATGTGCAAATCCTGTGTCTGATCCCAAGTGGGATTTCTGCCTATACGGAGCCCTGTACACAGTCACCGCCCCTCACAGTGAAAACCAAACCAGTAATCCAGCTCTGGTCAGAGAAACATCCAGGAACAACAAGACACCCAGACCAATTCACAGCAGGAATGTACTATCTGAATATAAATCGTTCAGCATATCTCTTTCATTTGATTATGATGTAATAATATAGGGTTAAAGTGTGCCAGACAGCCTGGAACTTATATGTATGGTTCCTGATCAAATAGTGTAGATCTCCAGATTTGGGTTTGGCAGTACTTCTTTATGGTCATATGGTCTTAATGGTCTTAAATGAGTGGTATGGGTCACTGTTTGAGATCAAATGGAACCAGGGGCAAGTTTAACTAGGCAAAGGAACATTTACAGTATGAATTATACTTTCTATAATTCCTCTTCTCTTTTATACAGATAGCTTCCAGATGCCCCATGACATGGTGGTAATTCAACAGCAGAGTTCAATAAAATAAGTCTCTAAAACAGATTTCAATATCAAACATTCAGGGTTGTATAGATTACACAGTGAAAACAGATCACATTTCTGTACTGGCTTTAAACCACTGTTTTTTAGGGGGGAAAATAAGCAAATGTTCTGCTTCTGAAAGAATAGACAAATGCAGGCAAAGCTTCATGAGGTATAGTCAACAACCAACAGTGTTTGTGTGCATTCTGTACGAGCATATATGTGTGTATCATGATATAACAGAAGGTCTGTGGAACATTTCAGGACAGGATTAGGGGCTCGTTTCCAATATTTGTTGAAATGCGATTGCTTCAGTACCAACCCCTCATGGCACCAGCCTCTGAACCCCAACCGTACCCAGCTCTCCCTGCCAACCTTGTGCCATCTGGGCCACAGTGGCCCTCCTTCCTGACCAGGGGGAGCCATGTTGTGGATCTTGCACGCTTGGCCCGGGCTCCTGATACCAAGGCAGAGCTGGCACAGGGGGACAGGGGCCTGCTGCGTTGGCCAGGTGTAGGACAGTCAGAGGGTGACAGGTAGCACTGCGCTCACAGGCACCATGCCTGGACCATGTATTGGACCAGTGGGGCCTCTGAGCCTGATGCTCCTGATTGGAATGTTTAAGGCGTTACACCTTCCCAGCACCTTCTGTTTCTCTCATTCAGATACTATCTTATTGTTTTCAGGACTTATTTTAAATTTCAACTGAACCACAGACTTTTTAGTTCTATAGTTTCATTGGATTACTGGAACTTCTTTATAAAGACATATGGAATGGGGTGGGTGAAGTAAGTGCATTGTTGAAAGGGCTTTGGGATTATAAAATGGTAGGTCTCATAGCGCTGAGGCTTTGCACAAATCATGTGCACCTGTACTAGCCTAATAATTCAACCTCCTGACAGCAAGCAAGTTATCACTTCTGTCCACCCCATCTGTATGTATTACTCTGCCTAGTTAAACTACCATTAGCACATTTATCTGCTTCTATAATACGCCTAATGACCTAATCGGTCCTTACTCTGTTCGGTTTTTTTTAACCTCTGAAAACGGGAGACATAAACACAACACTATAAACTTGTTTATGTATTTAACTTGGTATAGAGACGTCCTCAGTAATCTAGCAATAAAAGTAGTCCTGGAAAGGCACCAGCAATTTGACTAAAACAGAATCCAAAGAAAAAGAACAAACTGTTCCACATAAACAGACCACACATTTTACATTTACATTTTTGTTATTTAGCAGACGCTCTTATCCAGAGCGACTTACAGGAGCAACTAGGGTTAAGTGCCTTGCTTAAGGGCACATCGACAGATTTTTCACCTAGTCGGCTCGGGGATTAGAACCAGCGACCTTTCAGTTACTGGCACAACGCTCTTAACCACTAAGCTACCTGCCGCCCTACGCCCACACAACAACAGGCACTAGTCCGAGTTTTAACTAAGCAGACAAACCAGAACTTTCCATTTATCAGGACTTCCCAGGTCTACCCATATTTCACCTCTCTCTCTCACAGACAGAGAGAGACAAACACTGGAGCGTATGCGTACCTCTGAGGGGGGTCCGGGGGTGTCTGGTGAGGAGAGGCCGGCCTGACTGGTGATGCTCTTCTCCAAGGTGTCCACCTTCTCATAGGTCCTCTTCTGCCTACCAGGCATCTCCAGCGGCGGCAGGGCCGGATTGCCATGATTACCCACCCTGCTCAGCGAGCGGCTGGCGGAGGGGATGTCTTCTCGCGACGCACACCTTCCTCCTCCTCCATACCACCTCAGGGAGTCCACAGGGGAACGTGTCCGGGGCACTGCGCCCCTCTCGCCAATCTCTGCCCCCAGGCCTCCAGCCTTCATCTCCCTCATGGTGTTGGAGCGGCTCACCACCTCCCTCATCTCCGCCATCAGCCTCTCGTTAAGGGCACACAGCTCTCCGCTGCTGCCCACTGAGCCAGGCCGGCCACCGGCCCCCACCCTCCGCCGGCTCTTCCTCCTCAGGCTCGGAGAGGGGCCAGTGGAGTAGCCGGAGTCCTGGTAGGTGGCGGTGGTCTGGGGGCCTGGAGGTATGGGGAAGTCCTGGGAGGCCTGGCTGCTCTGCCTGCTGTAGCGAGCCTCCACTGCCCTCAACACACTGGCCTCCAGGGCCCGCCATGTCTGCTTCTTCTCCAGGGTCCCTGGCTCCCTCTGCTGCCCCCGGGGCTGAGACTGGGGCTGGGCCAAGAGGGGGTCTGATCGTGGGGTGGGGGAGGGGATGCGGGTGGGACAGGGGGAGGTGGACAGGAGGCCCTGTTTGGGATCCACAACGACCATGTGCTTGATGCACTCCAGGCCAGCAGGGCTGTAGTCAGAGGCAGAAGGGTTCCTCTTGTGCCTGGATTCTGAGTGAGATGAGCCAGGGTGCTGGGGGAGCCTGGGCTTTTGCAGGCTGTGTGTGGGGGTGAGGCGGGATAGACCACCAGGCCCATTATGGAGGTGAGCCCCCTCCACCTCCATGTCCACAGGAGGCTCATCATAGATGGGACACTCTTTTCCCGGGTTGTCGTAGAGGGGAGGTGTGGAGGCGTACTGTGGTGACACTGACCTGGGGGTGCTGGGCTGGGACCTGTGACTGCCTGGGGTTTGGGGAGGGTCAGAGGACACCAGACAGAAGCTGCCATTGCCGGTCTTTCTCAAGTGGTGGGCCTGCCGGGCGTCCGTGGCCATCTTGCCGGAGGGTGCGGTCTTGTAGCCCTGGGTGGAGCAGGCGTGGGCCCCCGGGGGCTTGCTGCTGACGGGGAGGAGGGTGAAGGCCTGGTGGCCGTTGGGCTTGGTGTGGGTGTGTGTTTTGTGGTGGCGGAGCTGCAGGTCCGGGCTAGATGGGCCTCCAGGCTGGATCCGACTGACGCTGTTCACTTTAACCAACATGGCTGCCTTAGACCCTGGGGAAGGCTGCCATCTCTGAGAGCGCTCCCTGGAATAGAAAGAGAATGAGGGAAAGGATGAGATCTGGGTTTGGATTTAAAGAGATAACTGCAGATAAAAACACACACATCAGATGACAGTCACCCGAACAAGCAAAGCATTGTTCCAAACTTCTTCAAGCCTGTGGTTACTTCTAAATTGTGACCATCAAAAAATGCTCCACAAATTTACATTCCAAGCTCAGATAGAGTTGGGAAAACAACCGTGATCCGATTCCTCGCATTCTTCCCCAAACATTTCACTGACCCTCCAAAGACTATTCCTTTTTTAGTCCAGCCAGCCAAAATACTGCCTTCTAAGTCATAAGACAATAACTCCAGTGTGTGTTGTGCAAACCAACCTCCTAAAAATACACAATTACCACTGCACTTCTGACTGAGGCAGATTAAGAAGACTTCTCATTACTGTCTGGGTTAGAGGAGTGGAAAACATTTCTTACGTAAGTGTGTTAAGTATTCTCCTGCTCTGGACTATAACACAGTACCTCCCCCCACCCCTACACCCAAGAGTAGTGACCCATTAATTACATGGACTCAAAACACCTTGTGAACCAATTGGTTAACATTTGCGAAATGACAAAACATGATCAGACCTAAGGTCCCAGCTGCCACAGTTCCAAAACACTCAGAGACTGAGTAGAGTAGTAGAGAAGAGTGTTTATGAGAACATATTTGAAGAGCAGAATTACAGTAGAAGAGTGTCCATCTGCCCTGAGGACTGGAGGTTGACACTCCTCCCTTGCGGCTAACTTCAGACGATGTCAGAATGCTAATCCCAGCACTGGGAACTAATCTGGCATTATTCTGTTTACACCGCTCTCTCACCCTGTAATCCATGTGGCCCCAGTATCAGGCCTCATTCATTCCACAATATCTCACTTAGATCTCACTGCCATCCATCCGTGGTTCAGCAAATAAACACTTCTATCTATCTGACCAACTGTGACTGAAACAACTCCTATCATACAGCATATAAGAGTAATCTGCTAACTTCAAGAATCAAAGGTTGAGAATGCTTTACAGTACTAGCAATACAGACCAAGGATTAGAAAAGCAGAGACTTACCTTCTGCCCTCCACCCTCTATACCGTATAGCCAACAACACACTGTAACCAATACTATTGAACCTGAATGCCTCTATCCTTCTGCAGCCAGACATCTAACAGACTGACCCACATGCTTCCTCCTAAGTCTCAGGAATGGAGTTACTGGGGAGCTTAAGAGTAGGAAGAGGACAGAGAAAACCTTCTGTAGTTTGTAACAATACAATAATTCCCCTGGGGCTCGAGCTTCTCGGACCAATGGCAAACTTCCTCACATCCTTCTAATACCCACTGCACTGCATTCTCTCTCTTTCCCTCAGACAGTCACGCCACCTCAGTGATTTGAATGTAAACAGGCTCTTCAAACGGTTGAGCAGATATAGCTTCCACAGCCCATAAACAGCTGGGCCTGAGCCACCTGGCAGCCTCCCAGCACAGCCAGCCCTGTCCTTGTGGTGTTGGGAACATTCCAGGGCCTCGCCTCTGTTTACTGCCCCACACGTGGATCCAGACGAGCGGAGACTAGTGACACGCTGCAGAGTGGACAGAAGCCACTTCAAACCGGCTGTGATTGGGCTGCTTTAGTTCTCAGCAGAGTGTGACAAACTGAGGTGGGAGACTGCTGAAAACGTGCTGCTGCTGTCTGAACTCTTTGAAATGTGGGACTCAGAGGAAGTCCTCCTTCCGTTATGTTCAGGGGTTGGTGATGTCAGTGATGTTACCTCCATAACAGAGGCAGTGTCAAGGAGATTTCTATGATCAAGGATTATGGTCTGATGTTGGAACTAACCTTTGAATTGTGAATTGACTTGCAAAAAAAGACAAACATGAAAAATTACTGTTTTAAAACAGCCAGTTTAATATGGCACCGAATGGGCTACATTACAGTAACCATTAAAGAGGCAAGAAGGAATTTATGCAAAAGGAAAAAGACCACATGTAACCTAACACAATGATCACATGCTAAATACATTATACACTCAGTGGCCAGTTTATTAGGTACACCCATCTAGTACCGGGTCGGACCCCCTTTGCCTCCAGAACAGCCTGAATTTTTTGGGCCATGGAAACGTTGCTCAATTGGTATCAATGGACCTAACGTGTGCCAGGAAAACAATCCCCACACCATTACACCTCTGCCACCAGCCTGTACCGTTGACACCAGGCAGGATGGGGCCATAGACTCATGCTGTTTACGCCAAATCCTGACTGCCATTAGCATGACGCAACAGGAACCGGGATTCGTCTGACCAGGCAATGTTTTTCCACTCAATTGTCCAGTGTTGGTGATCGCGTGCCCACTGGAGCCGCTTCTTCTTGTTTTTAGCTGATAGGAGTGGAACCCGTGACAAGGACCGACGGGTTGTGCGTTCCGAGATGCTGTTCTGCACACCACTGTTGTATTGCACCGTTATTTGCCTGTTTGTGGCCCGCCTGTTAGCTTGCACGATTCTTACCATTCTCCTTCGACCTCATCAACGAGCTGTTTTTGCCCAAAGGACTGCCGCTGACTGGATGTTTTTGTTTGTCACACCATTCTCGGTAAACCCTAGACACTGTCATGCGTGAAAAGCCCAGGAGGCCATCCGTTTCTGAGATACTGGATCCGGCGCGCCTTGGCACCGATGATCATACCACGCTCAAAGTCGCTTAGGTCACTCGTTTTTCCCATTCTAACGTTCAATTGAACAGTAACAGAATGCCTTGATGTCTGTTTTATATAGCAAACCACGGCCACGTGACTCACTGTCTGTAGGAGCAAACTATTTTCGTGAACGGGGTGGTGTACCTAATAAACTGTCCGGGTGAGTGTACACCCCCACATATTATAAGGTTACTACTCATGACAAGGAACTGGTAAATGTACTTAATGGATGAACAACAGGTTTGGTCTTATGACTAGTCTCATTCTCCAGTGGTGAGTGGTCTGGTTCACCACTGATGACCCTGAGAGAGAGAGAGAAGGGGGGTGAGGTTCTACTTCCTGTCCTTGAAGCCCCCTGGAGGAGGGGCCAGCAGGGCCTCCCATACAACACAAACAGGAAATGACAAATGTAACATTCACGCTGGAGTAAGGCCGGAAGAGAGGGGTGACCTTCACTTATAGGGGGTTTACATGTTGCTAAATGAAATGAAAACAAAACAAAAACAAACCATATATGAAATAACATTTTCTAGGTCCCTACACAGCATCACTGCCATTGCACTCGACATCCCCATAACACCTGAGTGCTAATTCTATCTACATGCTAAATGATGTCAGTCCTCTTTAATGTGACCAGTAACAACAGAAACTATCCTCTGCTTGGATATTGTTTTGAGGTGGAACCAGAGCTACACAACAGAACGATATGAGAGGAACTTTGGACATGCTGAGTCTAGCTGGGGATTTAATCTGGCTTTGTGTCCGTTGTTCACTTGTCATTGTCACACCACACCCAGGGTGGCACCGTCAGGCTAGTGTGTTCAGCCCTTCAGTATCGGCACATTGTTGTTTTTTAACACAAACACTCGGTGCGCAATAGATGATTATCCCACTCACATCTGGCTTGATGCCAATGCCCACAGTAGTGTTATATACAAGCTTTCCTCACTGTAGCAGTCCTAATCCAACTATATTTACCACCAACAACCTATAACACCCAACCAGAATGATCTCACTTCTAAAACAGTGAGACAGAGTAAGAAAGCACAGTGGTGAGAAAATAGGAGTGAAAATGGGAGGACAGAAAGAGAGAGCGAGAGAATGAGAAGGGGATTTGTCGTGGGAGAGTGCCGTCAGGGAATGAGCGGGAACGTTGGCATTCCTCAGAGTTCTCGTTCAGGGGCCCCAGGGGTAGCAGGCCGGGGAGCCTTTAGACAATGCCTGGCTCTGCTATTGTCACGGCAACGCCCCTCTATGGAGCAGAGTCCCATCTGAAGACTATCTACAGATTCTCTAAAGCAGACAGAAACACTTACCTAACATCAGTATGGCAGTCCTGAGTTTACTGGCTCATTGACACTGTCAACATGATTACGCTACCACAATCATAAAAAGAGCCTGTGTTTCATCACACCGACCACATTGGCTGTTGGGTACTTTTCAAATAATGTAAACAAATAAATGATTATATGCCACAATTTATCACACGGAATATGAAAAAGACATTAACATTAACTCGTTTTCCACAGAGACACACACACACACACACATTCTTTAAGGCCATGTGAGACGTTGAGTAACGCCGAAGGTTGAAATGAAGTTAGAATCCTTTGGAGCCCAACTGGGTAATTCGATTGGGTTATGGAGTAGCAAATCAACTTAACGGTCAGCAAATTTTAATTTGTCTCGGCAGCTCCGGTGTCACACGCCCCTGACCACTGCTACTACCTCCACTCCTGCACGGAGTGTGATTGTGGTAGGAAAAGCCAGCTAAATATACATATTAAGCTATTTGCAAGAAATGTTATTTCTTTCCTTCCTGGAATAACCATGGTTGGAAAACCTATCAGCTGAGTCACTTTTGGCGGATAGGGATATGGCTTGGGAAGTACCCCTTAAAATACAGCCCCTTGGAATAGTAGGGGTCTCGAAACAGGGGCTATTATTATCATCCCGTCAGACAGGAAGAGGGAATTAGGTCCTATAGGCTCTGAACACAAACACCTCAGAGCTTGGGCCAATGAGATCATCATGATCTGCATAGAAGAAGGATACAAGACAAAGAAGATTCACTCAAGGTCAATTTCACAGCCAATCCAACAGCATGGATACTACCAGCCTATACTCAGGTTTACCCAACACTGACCATATGGTTTGACACATATGCAATCAGAAACCAACATTGGAGGAATATCCCAATGCAAAAGTGATGTACACTATATATATAAAAATATGTGGACACCCCTTCAAATGAGTGGATTCGGCTAGTTCAGCCACACTCGTTGCTGACAGGTGTATAAAATCGAGCACACAGCCATGCAATCTCCATAGACAAACATTGGCAGTAGAATGGCCTTACTGAGAGCTCAGTGACTTTCAACATGGCACCGTCATAGGATGCCACCGTTCCAACAAGTCAGTTCGTCAAATTTCTGCTCTGCTAGAGCTGCTCCGGTCAACTGTAAGTGCTGTTATTGTAAAGTGGAAACGTCTATGAGCAACAACGACTCAGCCGCGAAGTGGTAGACCACACAAGCTCACAGAACGGGACCGGCGAATGCTGAAGCACGTAAAGATTGTTTGTCCTCAGTTGCAACACTTACTACAGAGTTCCAAACTGCCTCTGGAAGCAACGTCAGCACAATAACTGTTCGTTGGGAGCTTCATGAAATGGGTTTCCATGGATGAGCAGCCACACACAAGCCTAAGATCACGATGCACAATGCCAAGCGTCAGCTGGAGTGGTGTAAAGCTCTGGAGCAGTGGAAACGCGTTCTCTGGAGTGATGACTCACGCTTCACCACCTGGCAGTCCAACGGACGAATCTGGGTTTGGCGGATGCCAGGAGAACAGTACCTGCCCCAATGCATAGTGCCAACTGTAAAGTTTGGTGGAGGAAGAATAACGGTCTGGGGCTGTTTTTCATGGTTCGGGCTAGGCCCCTTAGTTCCAGTGAAGGGAAATCGTAACGCTACAGCATACAATGACATTCTAGACGATTCTGTTCTTCCAACTTCGTGGCAACAGTTGGTAGAGCATGGCGCTTGCAACGCCAGGGTTGTGGGTTCGTTTCCCACGGGGGGCCAGTATGAAAATGTATACACTCACTAACTGTAAGTCGCTCTGGATAAGAGCGTCTGCTAAATGACTAAAATGTAAAAAATGGAAGGCCCTTTCCTGTTTCAGCATGACAATGCCCTTGTGCACAAAGCGAGGTCCATACAGAAAGAGTTTGTCGAGATCGGTGTGGAAGAACTTGACTGGCCTGTACAGAGCCCTGACCTCAACCCGATTGAACACCTTTAGGATGAATTGGAACGCTGACTGCGAGCCAGGCCTAATCGCCCAACATCAGTGCCAGACCTCACTAATGCTCTTGTGGCTGAATGGAATCAAGTCCCCGCAGCAATGTTCCAACATCTAGTGGAAAGCCTTCCCAGAAGAGTGGGGGCTGTTATAGCAGCAAAGGGGGGACCAACTCCATATTAATGCCCATGGTTTTGTAATGAGATGTTCAACGAGCAGGTATCCACATAATTTTGGTCATCTAGTGTTGGAACCCCATAGCAGAGACAACTCAATTTTTTAAAAGCAGGAGTGGCAGAGGGCTGAGATGAGAGATGGGGGACCTGCAGGGCCACCTCTGAGGTTAAAGACCCAGCTGTCATGAGACAGCTGAATGCATCTCCCTGCTCTGAGACACCATGTCTACCAGCTGCACATACCACCTAATACCACCCTACCCTACCCCACCCTCCACCGTCTCCCAACCCAGCTAGGAGGCACTGGGGTTGGGCTGGGGACAGCCACCGGGACCCCTAGTCTCCAGACTGTGGGACATGGTGACAGAGAGAGACCATCCCAGCATGGGGTCAGAGAAAAACGCCTATGGAATCTGAACTGTTCTTCTACATGTGTTCATATGGAACCAGATACAGCATCAGAACACACTCCTCGGATTACAGTAATAAAATCACACATCCTCTCAATTAACACTGATCTGGAGGTGCGCCACGGGAGCCACAGAAACAACATGCTCACATTGCTCACTGATTCTCATAGTTAAGGTTAATGGATAATTTAGGTCAACTGATACAGCGTGCTTGTCATGCCAGAGACTAGTGCACATGGTGGCACTGGCCCTTCATCAGAGCAATGGAAGGTGTCTCAGCATAGCAATGTGTATATGAAGACATCTAGGTCCAGTAACATGGTAATGCTTAAAGCTGGTCTAAAATAATACCATAGAGCTTGGACTTGCTGTTCTAGTTAAAATAATGATAAAACAGTAGGTCTGTAATCTAGTTTTCTGAGGACACCATAAAACTTAAACTTTACAAGGGAGAGAGTGAAAACTGTGACAGAGAGAAAGAGGGATAGAGAGAAAGGACATTGTCACAACAAGTACCAGCCACCCAGACCCATTTAACCAGATGTTTAAAGTTAAAGTAACACTTTCTAACTGGAAAAACGACACCATAAGAGTCTGACTTAAGTCAACATCTGGCAAGAACCAAGAAATGATCTTACCAAGCCTGGCGCACAGAGATAAAAAGAGAACAAGTCTTATTCCCAATGTCTTTAAAGCTGTTAGTCCAGACACCGATAGCACAGACAGATGAAAGTGTTAGAGCTTGTGTCAGACCTATAAACATCCAGTCAACGTGTGACTCATTTAAACTCAACTATTTCAACCACAGACTCCTCCTCATTTCCTAAATCAATCTACTGGTGATTTATTTACAATGACTCATAGAGTAAAGCACATGTGATGATAACCAGGTTGGATTTACTTTTGCTTTCATTTGCAGAGCTGAGGAGGGAATGTTTGAATCTTCCACTTCTCAAAACCTAACTTCTTCCTGACCTCATATCATCACAACACAGTCTCATAGGGTTCTCTATCATCACAACACAGTCTCATAGGGTTCTCTATCATCACAACACAGTCTCATAAGGTTCTCTATCATCACAACACAGTCTCATAGGGTTCTCTATCATCACAACGCAGTCTCATAGGGTTCTCTATCATCACAACACAGTCTCATAGGGTTCTCTATCATCACAACACAGTCTCATAGGGTTCTCTATCATCACAACACAGTCTCATAAGGTTCTCTATCATCACAACACAGTCTCATAGGGTTCTCTATCATCACAACGCAGTCTCATAGGGTTCTCTATCATCACAACGCAGTCTCATAGGGTTCTCTATCATCACCACACAGTCTCATAGGGTTCTCTATCATCACAACACAGTCTCATAGGGTTCTCTATCATCACAACACAGTCTCATAGGGTTCTCTATCATCACAACACAGTCTCATAGGGTTTTCTATCATCACAACACAGTCTCATAGGGTTCTCTATCATCACAACACAGTCTCATAGGGTTCTCTATCATCACAACGCAGTCTCATAGGGTTCTCTATCATCACAACACAGTCTCATAGGGTTCTCTATCATCACAACACAGTCTCATAGGGTTCTCTATCATCACAACACAGTCTCATAGGGTTCTCTATCATCACAACACAGTCTCATAGGGTTCTCTTGTCACAGAAGTTGAGCATTTTGTCAAAATAAGAGAATCAGGGCTTCATTAATTTCGCTACGTAATGAATATCGCCTGAAATCTGGATCCCATGAGCAATATCTTGACACAGAAATAATGTGTTTATGGGCTATAGGTCAACATAGAAATGTCTATATAATGCATATCTATTTCATGAGAATCTCTAGGTAGAATTGCACACATTGTGCAATGGTGATTGCACACCGATCCGGAACAACAAGTTTAAAGTGTGTTTGATCTTCGCCTGACTGCCTTGGATTGAATCCTGTCAGTCTTTTGAGTGTAGCTATATCATTAGTGGCTAATGAAAAGGCACATACTAGTCATTTGGTACCTCAGTTCACCATACCTTCACTTCCTCCTCAGAGATAGCTCACAGATCAGTTGCCCCTAGGGACACTTGTGCTTAACTGAGGGCCTTTCTTCCTTTAGTAGCCAATTCTAACCATGGGGCCAGCCCACAGGATAATGGAGTGCTATGACCCGTATGTGAACCACACCTGGTCACCTCATCTCTGTCATGTGCCTTCAACAAGTAGGACACTTCCCCTACACTTCATCTGTCCCATGGAACTTCAAAACACTACAGGACAAGCTACATGGCAAGCTACCCCAACTTCTACCCCACATGAATCCCCTCATGCACCCACTCCACATACATACACAGGTCATCTGTTCAGTGTTTCCCCTTCTACCTTACGCAATTAGGGTCGGAGGTCAGAGGGTAGGAGAGTCCTCCACATGGCTGAGGATTGATACCCAGGACCCAGGCAGAGAGCAGAGGAAAGTTAAGAGACACAGACACCTCTAGGAACAGCAGGGTCTCCTATTTAAAACTAACTGGAATGCACTTTACCCCAAGCTACCCTACAATTGACCCATATTCAGCACCACTCTCCTTTATACACTCACAGCGAATTGCGGAGCAGTAAGGTGTTTAACCATTTAGCTCCTCTGGGTTTAAAATGGTGCAGTTTGCGCATATTTAGGAGTTGATAAATAAAGTTGTAATGGGATGCTGGGAACCCCCTCTTTTTAACAAAGGGCATTAAAATAACTGTTTTCCCTGTGATTGCATTATGAATTCTTGTGCATTGACTGCTTGTCAGAATGCACGTTTCCCTTCCTATGGCACTCACAACTTGAATGTGCCTTGAGAGGAATATTCATCTCGCATAGAACGCACAACAACAAACTGACTAGGTAAATAGATCAACTATTCTACTATGGACTTTTCTATTCATTACTCATTTATTTTGCAGAGGAAAAGTAAATGTGGACTGTTCTAGCATCTTCAAAGTGCGCCTCGGCTGTTCCATATTTTTTTTACCGTGGCGGCAATGAGCTTGCCATGGCGCAGCGCCACAACTAAATGGACTGCAGCGGAAACACTGCATATGTTGTGAAATCCACAATCCAGTACAGATGTCGTAAGCAAGGTGATCGCAAACTCTTTATCGTTTAAAAAGATCAGAATCCCTTGCTCTATTACTTCTGGACATGTTTACCTGGGGAGTTTAAGGTATTTTTCTGATGAGCTGGACAGGGTCAGAATACCCGGATATTCCCAGGCCATGTGATAAGAGTTAGCCAAAGAGTAACATATTTAACACTCTGCTTGAGAGAGAGTGAGAGAGCGAGAGCGAGAGCGAGAGCGAGAGAGAGAGAGAGAGAGCGGAAGCTGAATAAATGAAACAGTGCCTAGGATAACACAGATGGTGTGTTAACAGGCAGATAGATATTGTATGACCACCAACAGGCAGATAGGTATTGTATGACCACCAACAGGCAGATAGGTATTGTATGACCACCAACAGGCAGATAGATATTGTATGACCACCAACAGGCAGATAGGTATTGTATGACCACCAACAGGCAGATAGGTATTGTATGACCACCAACAGGCAGATAGGTATTGTATGACCACCAACAGGCAGATAGGTATTGTATGACCACTAACAGGCAGATATATATTGCATGACCACTAACAGGCAGATAGGTATTGCATGACCACTAACAGGCAGATATATATTGCATGACCACTAACAGGCAGATAGGTATTGTATGACCACTAACAGGCAGATAGATATTGTATGACCACTAACAGGCAGATAGGTATTGTATGACCACTAACAGGCAGATATATATTGTATGACCACCAACAGGCAGATAGGTATTGTATGACCACTAACAGGCAGATATATATTGCATGACCACTAACAGGCAGTTAGGTATTGCATGACCACTAACAGGCAGATAGATATTGTATGACCACTAACAGGCAGATAGATATTGTATGACCACTAACAGGCAGATAGATATTGTATGACCACTAACAGGCAGATAGGTATTGTATGACCACTAACAGGCAGATATATATTGTATGACCACCAACAGGCAGATAGGTATTGTATGACCACTAACAGGCAGATAGATATTGTATGACCACTAACAGGCAGATAGATATTGTATGACCACTAACAGGCAGATAGATATTGTATGACCACTAACAGGCAGATAGATATTGTATGACCACTAACAGGCAGATAGGTATTGTATGACCACCAACAGGCAGATAGGTATTGTATGACCACTAACAGGCAGATAGATATTGTATGACCACTAACAGGCAGATAGATATTGTATGACCACTAACAGGCAGATAGGTATTGTATGACCACTAACAGGCAGATAGGTATTGTATGACCACTAACAGGCAGATAGGTATTGTATGACCACTAACAGGCAGATAGGTATTGTATGACCACTAACAGGCAGATAGGTATTGTATGACCACTAACAGGCAGATAGATATTGTATGACCACCAACAGGCAGATAGGTATTGTATGACCACTAACAGGCAGATAGATATTGTATGACCACTAACAGGCAGATAGGTATTGTATGACCACTAACAGGCAGATAGATATTGTATGACCACTAACAGGCAGATAGGTATTGTATGACCACTAACAGGCAGATAGATATTGTATGACCACTAACAGGCAGATAGGTATTGTATGACCACTAACAGGCAGATAGATATTGTATGACCACTAACAGGCAGATAGATATTGTATGACCACTAACAGGCAGATAGGTATTGTATGACCACCAACAGGCAGATAGGTATTGTATGACCACTAACAGGCAGATAGGTATTGTATGACCACCAACAGGCAGATAGGTATTGTATGACCACCAACAGGCAGATAGATATTGTATGACCACTAACAGGCAGATATATATTGTATGACCACTAACAGGCAGATAGGTATTGTATGACCACCAACAGGCAGATAGATATTGTATGACCACTCCTCAGATGTATTTATAGAACTAAAAGGAAACTGAGATTGGAACAACTGACTGTCAAGTTTCCTCTGAACACTTTTTCCTCAAACGTCATCATCAACTGTTGAAATACACATGGATTTCTGAACAGATTCTTTGAAATACCACAAATATTAGCAAAGTAAAAAAAGGGAACTTGGTCAAACTGAAGTAGACATTATGCACAACTTAGAGGAACATAACTGAATGTCATGAAACCCTATGTTCAGCATGGGATACATGAATGCCCAGCCCACAGGTGATGCACTTCTGTCCTGGAATAGAAATGAATGACGCTCTTGTAAAAAGAGCCCACACTTTCTTCAAGAAAAGTCTTTGAACAAACTAAGGCTATCTGGTGTAACTCTTTCAAAAGACCCCTACATGCCAGATGTGCCATACCACACTCAGAGCCTTCCCTCACTACAGAACTGGCATAGTTTCTTGTAGGACATTTTATTTTTATTTTTATGCTACTTCATATTCATCATCTCCAGCACCACCCCAACATCAACATGTGAAAACTGCAAGTTTCTAGGTTTTGTATTAACAAAAAGAGAGGAAGATAAGTGTTTCCAATGACATCAGTATGCATCATGTGATTTTAACCTATTATGAGTAGGTGTGGCCTACTAATTGGTTGATGATGTAATTGGAAACACTTACCTTCCTCTATCTTTATTACTCCATAACATAGAAACGCATCATTTGCATACTGTATGTTGATGTTGGGGTGGTGCTGGAGATGAATATGAATTTGAAAATGCTTGAAATGTCCCTTTAATAGCTGAGCATAGTCATGATCAATCAGCCAGACAGAGGTGAAGAGGAGAAGAGCACAGGTCCGAACGGTTCCTCTCCTCTCCAACCCCAAACATGAAACCAACTCTGTTTTCATCCATTTATTGTTTGTCACATTCCAGCTTCTCTCCTCATTGCATGGTGAGATCTAATTACAAGCCC